CACCGCGTAGAAGCTCACCAAATTTTTAAAATGAAAGCGTCTGGCATTGTTCACGTCATTCCTTGTATTTTGCGAAAATTAACTTGACTTATGGCGGATAAGGTAATAAGCATTCATTTTATTTTCAAAAAAGTTGAAAAAAAATTATCCTCAGGCTTCTACTTCTTTCTATTTTATATTTAAACGAAATGTTTGCGAAGTGGTGAAAAAAATTAATGAACAGTTTTCCTTTTGCACTTTTTTTTTATAATTCAAGAGGAAATTTCAATTACAAAAATTCTTAATAAACGGTTTCGATGAACTCGTAAAGACTAAAATACTTTCAAGTATTAATTTTTAATGTTTTAATGCCGCTTTTCCAAAAGTAAAAAGAACATAATTAGAGATAAATTTATATTTTGGAATTGTAGTCGTTTTGAATTTTTTACGAAATCATTAGAGAGGCAACACAAGTATCGCAATTATTGCTGATCAAAGAGCACCAATCAGCTGCTGTTAATAATTCAAGTGCCTTTTGCGGCTCAAAATTAATCACCCGCGAATAATAAAATATTGCGGTGTTCGCTTGCGCTTGGCCATTTGTTATATTGTTTCCGCACAGCTGTCTCATTAATTCAGCCAAGCCGCGGATGAAATTAAACATCAGGTAGCTCTCGTCGATGAAATTCATTAATGGCAAAATGTGGCTGCGAGCGACAATTAAACACAGGCACACACGCTCAGTTTTATATGCACTCTTGCGTTCGAGTGCGCCCCACTTCAAACTACTGCCCATTGTGACCATCATCTGCTTTTATATTTCACCGATCGCCAGACTGTCATTGTCACACTCGGTTGCTCATTTCTCGGCGTACCGAGTCATGGATTTGCGTCGAAAATGTGGTTGAAAAGGAAACAGATCAAAGTGCGTGTAGGCGAGAAAAGCGTCGCTTGGTAAAAAGTCGTCGGGGATTTGCAACTGCTCGAGTGAACGCCGTTTTTTCCTCTTTATCCTTTGCCGGATTTGTACATATTTGGTGAATTTTTTCATATGTATGTTCATTCTATTTATATTTTGCGTGGTGAATCCATCAACAGAATGAAAAAAGAATGAAAGTAACAGTGGAAGGCTTGGAAATAAAAATGCAATCCCTTTTTTCGCCCGTAATCGGAATGAACAAAACTTGGAAGGTTTATGTCAAAGCCGTCTTTCTGAAAAGCACAAAAATTTAGCTTTCGAAAGTGCTTTCGATGTGGTGATTCCTTTGGGAATAAAATCTTACACATACGATAATTGCTGCATCTTTCTTTTGATATAACCATTCAGCAGTCTTTTTCACATTTTTTTTACAGATAATAATGAGAGTATGAAGGCCAGAGCGTAAGAAAAATATTACAAGCGCCAACTGAAACTTCCAATGAAACTCTTATTGTGAAAAATTTATATGAATTATTTGAAATTCATCCCCAAGGTGTCTTTACAAACTTTTTGGCACCAGTTAAAGTTTCAGATCTAAAAATTCTTTATTTTATTTTACGCTGTTTGCAGAGAGAACAAGGGCAAAATAAAATTATTCCCTGCAGAATGAATAAAAAATTACAAAACAAAGATGAAACTAATTATCATTCAAATAAATTTTATGCAAAAGAAAAAATTGCTCACTTGGGTAGCATTAGTATAATTAATTCTTTCAAAGTGAATTTTTTTTACCAAGACAGCTTTTAAAACACTTTGTGCAGCGCCACGTGTGATTAGTGTTATTATTGGCAGGACAGATGACAATGCGCGTCAGTGTGAAAGAGTGACGTGAAGGGCCCGAATAAAATGCAACCAGCCTGGGAGCGCGTGTTGCGGCTAATTGAGTTTGTGCCTTAGACTGGCGTGGCGTGGAGAGAGCCGAACGACGACTATACCTGATTAGATTACTATTTGGAAATGGAAGACGCGCGCGGGAGGATGGTGGAAATATGGCGAGAGGCGCCGCGCGCATTCTTGATCGTATTAAAGCGATACAATCGAATTGAAGCGCTCGCCGAAGAACGCAATTACCAACCATAGACACTCTAGACTCTCCAGAGTGCAAGACAATCTAGCAACTCTATAAGAAAATTTTTCAGATAATACGCTTTATGGTTTTAAACACGTCTGTAATACAAAATAATATAAATCAAATTTCCAAAACTCACCATTTATTTTTGTAGTGTTTTCGTGTGTATTATTTAATTTATATAATTATAATATTCGACTTTAACTGCCTTAAGTTTCATTATATGAAAGAACAATTATATTCCAATTTTTGTTTTGTTTTACTGACAAAAATCTCGATATAAAAATTTCTTTAAGCTATGATCATCAAGTAGTTGTTAAAGTATAAAATTGAAATAAAAATCACAAACACAGATTTTATATTTTTGACAGGAAAAGAAAGACAATTATTATGCATTTAAAAATTCCCCGATAAGATTTACAATTCTCTCATGGTTCAGTTCCACACTGGTTAGCCTGTTGACCTCAAAACAATCGTCAAATTGAGTCACCCGACCATTTCATTTGCATGGCATCTCGATATATTCAAATTCCAATCACGCACCGCCACCCACTTACTTATTGCTCACTAACATTCAGTCAGAAGCGTTCACCTTTTTTATTCTCCAAGCGGCTGTAAAATGCGAAAGTCGATTTGCATTATTCATGAGAGCAGCGAGAGGTAGCAAATGTGATTGTTTTAACGCCAGAAATAAACCGACAACCTCGTGACTTTTAATACCCCCCGCCAAAAGCGAGGAAGAAAATAATCTATCAAGAGATGGAATTTTCCATATCAAATCGTAAGCCACGCTCTTGATCCTTTGCATATATGCAAATTTTACCTTTTCTCCACGTGTAGAAAGAAATTACCTTGTGGAAAAAACTGAAGGCTAAAATATAGTTAGGTGTTTTTAATAAATCTTGACGTGCCAGAATAAAGCTCCGCCTAAAGACGAAAATAACAGCCTCTCAAGCAAGAAAGAAATTTCGAATAAGTCAGTAAATATTTGATAACGCAAAGAATTTCATAATGGATCACAGTGGAAATTTCCAAGAAAATTTAAATTTATGGTTTAAACTTGCGTATTTTAGGGAAAAATATACAAATTGAAAACTCTGCGTAGATTTATTTCATAGATAAAAAAAAACAATCAAAAGGGATTAAATTTAATCTTACCATAATAAAAAAGGACAAAAGTATAACAAATAAAAAATATTATTTTGCAGTCCTCAATTTAAACTACCTTAAATTTTACTTTCCTTCCGTTTCTGAGTAAAATTATGATTATTTATAATAATATATAAAAATTGTTCATAAATTCATAAATATTCATCACAAAATAATCTTTCAAAACCCACAATGCCATTGAAGGCTTCGCTGTGTCCTCTTGGCAGAGGTTTGAAATAAAATGTAAGAGATTCGCACAAAACATCGGGGCTGGCCGCGAATTAATGCCACAAGTTTTTGCTCGCATTAGTACACACTTTGAACAGCTTTTTGCCGGGGGTGTGTTTTTTCGTTTGGCACGCAGAGCGCACCATGTGTCGTCCTTCCCAGCTCGTGTGCGATGCCCGCTCGCAAATCCGGCTCCGGCGAGCGCCCCGTTTTGACACAACCTCAGAAAGCAATTCGCTCTCATCAGCGCAGCTTTTCTTCTCGACGCTGCTGCTTTTATGGTTCGGTTTGATAGTCGGTGGGTCATCTGGCTCGCAGTGACAAAATGAAAGGGAAAAATCGATCCCTGCTTCAGCTCTCGGGGTTTGCCTGTACTCGGCGGTTGACTCGAGATTGACACACACGGAGCCCATACCACGCGCACAATGCCCGATTTGTATATCTGCAGCCCTGAATTTACAAGAGTCGATTTCCTCCTTGCGCCTGAAATTGAAATGCAATCTTTTCCCAGCAACATCTCCCCAGCACGAAAGGAAAACCTTGAGCCGTACCGTACTTGCAGCCATGCTGATAACGAAAATTTTTTTTCTGCACATCAACGTGTCGCATGCAAGATTCCGCTTCAGGAATTTGTCTTTTGAGCAGAAAAAAATGTATAATAGTTTAATTTTCGTTACTTACAATTAACTTGAAAGCAAAAATTTTTTTAACAGGAAAAAATTCTTTAAAAATATTCCAATATTTTTATTTTTTTTTAACAATTATTTTTAATTATCTTTAATCTATTGCTTATTATTTATTGTTAAAAAATTTAAATTTTTCAAAATATTTTTATAGTAAAGCCATTTTTTTCTGCAAATTGTTACATTATAATTTATAATATTATTAATAAATTGTTTCAAATTTACCATTTATGTAAGTATCTAAGCAGCTTGCTTATATTTCTTTCAGAGTTATTTCTATTAAAATTATATATTTAATTGAAGAATTAATTAATGTTAAAAGTTTGTTATTAAAATGACAATCATGCTCAAACTATGGGATCAATGGGGGGACTGTGTAGATAATTATCATACAAGTCTATAAAGTACAGTTGCAATGAAATGAAATTTTATTTATCTTCTGATTTGTTGAATTTTGCTTCAAAATTAAATAATAAGAGAATACATAACTTTTTTTCCAGATGATCAAATACATTGATTTTTCAACATAAAAAAACTTGTGACCTAATTTTCTTTATTTGTTTCATTTGAACAATCCTAGAGTAGTAATATTCCAATCATTCAAAAGGGTGAGCTGTCAGATTGATATAGTTTGATCGAGTTGAAATAAGGTTAAATGAAAAAAGTATCCGATCTCGCTTTTTGTGTTCAAACTTTTTATATTATTACGTTCTCTCATAAATCCACTCGCGATATTCTAAATCCGATTTATGACTTTATACCTCCCCGGTTCAGAATCAATGTACGCAGATGACACAGTGAAATCGCTCACTCGCAAAATTCCACTATGGATGCGGCCGAGCGATAACAGCAAAAATCTGCTGTCGGTGTTTGCATTGTTTCTGTATAATTAATCCGGCGCCGCGTGTTGCAGATAAGCAAAGGGTGGATCCTGGGTCCTGAGTTGTGCGACATGTGGACTTCCAGCGACGTCCTCTGCTGCACGGCGTCTATTTTGCACCTGGTCGCCATCGCTGTTGACAGGTAAGCGAGTGCCATTTTCATGCAAATTAGCTTCAGCTTTTGTTCTTTGCGTGTGACAGCTCCATTGTGCTCTTTGCAAGCGAAGACGGCGCTGCTTTAGCCGTTCAGTCCTCACTCTGAAATTCTCTCTCTTTTTTAATCTAACTTAGTTTATTAGTTTTAAAGAGTTTCTATAAATTTTATTTTTTAAATTTTTGTCTTCCTTGAAGTACAAAAGATTAGAATAAAAATATGTATGTATTTGTTTAGCTATATTTTTGGCAGCATTAGCCGCGTCAATCAATCTAGAAAGATAGATTGATTTCAACGGACTTATATAACTTTTCACAATAAATAATATATAACTCGACTTTGCATTGGGAGATAAGAAGTTATTGTGTCTATCTAACAATAACATATTAGAGCCGCTTTTATATATTAAATTTTATATCATTTTTTTTATCTATGAAGTTGTTGAAAGTAATAATTTTGCATGAATTATTTATTATCAGTTTAGTGCTGTTTATTTCAACAAAGGAGCTAGAATGCTCACAAAATTTTGGTGAAGGCTTGAATAATTTCCCGTTAGATTTTATTACATTATTAAAATCAATTTCATTTAATGGTGAAACTTCCAAGACTAATTAATTGAAGATTCAGAAGATTGATGCATCATAATAAGTCAAATGAGTTCAAACCCCTATGAATTCCAAAATTATCAGTTATCAAGTAATTTTTATCTAGAACTCTCAGACAGGCAAATATCGCTGTTGTGAAATTTGATTTCTGATAATGATTAAATGATGGAACAAAAATCTATTGATTCAAAAATAAATAATTTCAAGATTACGCAGTAGTCTGGGAAGATTTCGTTTCAGGAATAAAATTATAGATATTTTTAATTTCTGATCAATGAGGATTCCCTCTCTAATGACCTCTAATAATAATTTATTTCCATAAAATTTATAACGCTTTGTTAATTTACTTGGACTCATTGGCAAAAATTAACAAATATTGTTCAATGTTTTAGGTACTGGGCGGTAACTAACGTGGACTACATTCAAAACCGCAACGGCAAGCGGATCGGCATCATGATCCTGCTGATCTGGAGTGTGGCGATAGTGGTGTCGTTGGCGCCGCAGTTTGGCTGGAAGGACCCCGGTTACCTTGACCGAATAAACCTGCAGCAAAAGTGTCTGGTGTCGCAGGACATTGGCTACCAGATATTCGCAACATGCTCGACCTTCTATGTGCCGCTGTTGGTGATCCTCGTCCTGTACTGGAAGATTTTCCAAACGGCGCGCAAGAGGATCCGTCACAGGGTAGGCAAGGCCCCCACCCCCACGCTCAACAACTCGACACCCCCGGCCAAACGCAAGAAGCGGAAAAACAAAAAGGAGGAGGCCGCGGCCGCCCTGACGGTGGCCGTCACCACGACGACCACCCTGGAGCGACCTGAGGAGGAGCGGCACCCTCAGGAAAGCACCACCGCCTTCACCATCAGCGTGCCGCCCCTCTCGGCGCCGGCCACCCCCGCCTCCATCGCTCCACCCTCCACGAACGTCTCCCCTGAAAAGTCATCGACCAACAACGGCTCGGCCAGCCACCAGAGCCACATCAGCGACATGAGCAGGGTGGAAATCCTGCAGAAGGACCTCGGTGGGGGCAGTTCGCGGAGGCTGGACGCCCCTCCAACCCCCACCGTGGCCATCATCGACCAGCCCAAGTCGGATCCGATCAAGGAGAGACGCGAGCGGAAGGAGACTATGGAGGCGAAGCGGGAGCGAAAGGCGGCCAAGACGTTGGCCATCATCACTGGGGCCTTCGTCATTTGCTGGCTGCCCTTCTTCATCATGGCCCTGCTGATGCCCCTGTGCGAGTCGTGCTACATGAACGACTACATCGCCAGCTTTTTCCTCTGGCTCGGCTACTTCAACTCGACGCTGAATCCAGTGATCTACACCATATTTAGTCCCGAGTTTAGACAAGCGTTCAAGCGAATTTTGTGCGGATCCAGCGCTAGATCTAATTATAGGCCGCGTAAGTTTAGATAAATAATTATATTTAAATCTCGTTATTTTCGTAAATAATTAATGATTAAAAAGCGCAAAAAAATAATACAATTTTTCGGTGATCCGCCTCTTGATGTGTCAGAGCTCACACACCACCAGCCGGATCGCAGATGGGTTTTTTTATCCGAAATATTATAATACTTAGAGCGCGTGTTGACCATCGTTATCTCCCTATTATGCTTGTATGAGCCTCACTTGCATATTATGTGAGATAAAAACGCGCCCGCACTCGTTTTGCAATTCAAAAAGCCGTGAAACATAGGGTAAAAAAAGTGAATTTCGGTGCAATATCAGAGTCTGAATCAAAAGTGTGTTGCACTGCTCGCCACATAACTTATTTTGCAAGTCGCCAATGTACAGAAAAGTGAAAGTGTAAATAAATTGTACATAATTATACGTAATTAGCGGAAAACATACAAGGTTGAAAACCCCAAAATAGAATGAAAATGGTTCCTTTTTCTTAAAAATTACATGTTGTTGTTCACTGCTGTGTGCGTGTAAATATACATTAAACAAAATTTAATCTCTCTGAAGGGATTAAAGCTGGTCATGTTTGAAATCGGTGCTACAAACCCCACACTAAATGGTGTTGCAAATCGTGCATGACAAATTACCAGCTTGCAAAGGTACTCCGCGTGCAAAGTTAGTTCTGGCGACGCCGCCACGGGCTTTCGGAAGATTAGTAGTGCGCGCAAGATGCTGCTCCGATGTATGTAAATATAATCACATCACAATTGCCCTGTTAGCTCCACCCATATAGGTAGTGTGTATGTGTGCAAGCGTGTTGCATTAATTTGCAAAAGTAATTTATTTCTTCCATCTCACGCGAGAGAGAATTGCCAGCTTTGAGGGTTATCTGTGATTTTTAAGACCCTCTGCAAATGAGAAAAATTAAAGTCAGATGCAGTTCTTCATCTTTCATTATAACTAGCATTCAAAAATGAATAATTGATTTGGATGGGGGGAAATGTGATTTTTTTCTGTTGATAACGAACCAAAAGAAGTTTTATTTTGTAAGAAAATAGTATTTTTCAGTTGAAAATTGGTGATCTACAATTTAAAAGAGAAAGAATAAATATCAGAGAAGCTCTTACGAAGTGGTTGTAGGTTCAATTAGGGCTTTAAAAAGTTAAACCAGAAATTTTAAATTGAATGAAATTTAAGTCTCTTTGGAAATGTAAAATATTGCGATTTTGGCTAAAAAAAATCCATTTAAGGTGTTAAACTTTCAGTAGAGAGACGTTTTTATTTACAAAGAAGTTTAATCATCCTGTCAATTTATTTATGAAACACGTGCAAAATCATGATTCTTTTGTATCCCTCTCCCGAGCTATATTCATGACATCAATTTTAAATTAGGTTTTTGAATTTATATTTATTTATAGATAAGATTACTGTTAAAACTTGTAGAAGAAAACGGTTTACTCTGATAATACCAGGGTGCGTCCAGGAAAGATTTGAGGGTAAATGTTAAAAATTTTTCTTGAAAACATGCCATTCCAATTTTCAAGTATGTTGTTGGGGTGGTCAAGAGGCCTCGCTCACCAAATTTTCAAGTCAAAATAAGGGGTGCTTTTCCGGGAAATCAGATTTTTCCAAAAACAAAAAATATGGAATATCTTTGCTCCTATTGAGAAATTATTAATGATATTTTCACTTCCAGTCGTAACTTTTTACGCCCGACAACTTTTCTGTTGACAACTTTTGCGTAGGTCAAAGGTCAAGGTCACTAAATTGCAAATTTCACTTTCTGACGCAATTTTCGCAAAGAAGCACCCCTCAGAAATTTTTCGCAGTATAGGAAAAAATGTAGCCCCAAGTGTGTAGAACAACATCCTTGATTTCCAGAATGGCATTATTTTTAGTTTTTTAATTAATTTTAAATGAATATTAAAAAACAGTGAAAAATCGCTTTTCCGCAATAGAAAGTAATTTTCAAACAGCGATAACTCATTTTCTGTTAGAGATACGCAAAAATGTTATAGAACGAAAAGGATTTGTTTTGACTTTTTGCATCCAGCCATGTATTGTTTATACAGGTCAGGTCATTTGGGGTCATTGACCTCGGTGACCTGTGACCTTTTAGAGCAGTTTACTGAATATTTGGCACGTAGTTAAGAAGAACTATTTTATGGAATGGTTTGAATAAGCTCATTTCCCACAAATTATTTTTAGAGGTCACAGGTCACCGAGGTCAATGACTCCAAATGACCTGACCTGTATAAACAATACATGGCTGGATGCAAAAAGTCAAAACAAATCCTTTTCGTTCTTTAACATATTTGCGTATCTCTAACAGAAAATGAGTTATCGCTGTTTGAAAATTACTTTCTATTGCGGAAAAGCGATTTTTCACTGTTTTTTAATATTCATTTAAAATTAATTAAAAAACTAAAAATAATGCCATTCTGGAAATCAAGGATGTTGTTCTACACACTTGGGGCTACATTTTTTCCTATACTGCGAAAAATTTCTGAGGGGTGCTTCTTTGCGAAAATTGCGTCAGAAAGTGAAATTTGCAATTTAGTGACCTTGACCTTTGACCTACGCAAAAGTTGTCAACAGAAAAGTTGTCGGGCGTAAAAAGTTACGTTTGGAAGTGAAAATATCATTAATAATTTCTCAATAGGAGCAAAGATATTCCATATTTTTTGTTTTTGGAAAAATCTGATTTCCCGGAAAAGCACCCCTTATTTTGACTTGAAAATTTGGTGAGCGAGGCCTCTTGACCACCCCAGCAACATACTTGAAAATTGGAATGGCATGTTTTCAAGAAAAATTTTTAACATTTACCCTCAAATCTTTCCTGGACGCACCCACCATACCGATAAATTTCAAGCATTTATCTGGCAAAAAACTTTCAAAACTCTTGAAAATAATTTTCAGTTGAAATATTATTCATTCTAAACAACATGCAGCAAAAAGGTCACAATTAACGCAATATATCTAAGCCTATATTTTTATTTTTAATTCTAATCGGTGAAAATAGTGAGTGTGTGAATAAAAGAAGGAAAAAATGTGGAAAAGGTCAAATTTCAGGGTAATATGTTATAGTCAAACTTCATCCGTTCAATGAAAGTTGATTAAAAGGAGTGGCAATTTTTCACTGCATACAAGTGTTTAGCATTCCTAGAGCAAAAAGAAAAACAATAAATTTCTTGAGATTCATCGCAATCCAAAGCTAAAAATTGGTGCTACGTAGCTTTCGGTATAGAAAATAATGTAATTCGATCACTAATATCAAGACTATCTGCAAATTTGCCAAGTCTATCGCACAAGTGGTGGGAGTGTGTTCATCCCACGGAACACTTAAATGCTTTTAAAATTGTTCCCCTCGCTAATGAACGGGAAAAATAAAATACTCGCCATAAAAATTCCCTAACAGCGGCACGATTGTGTGAATATTCTGTAGGAACCTAGCGAAATGCGATTTTATCATTTGAATTAATTCGTTATATAAATGGGAGTCAGTTTCTCATCATCAATCTTCGGATATACGGGATATGTGAAAACGTACATTAATTACGGAAATTGATTGCTGTTATCTCGGTCACTCTATGTGTTATTTACGCTAACTGTTTTCAACATAGATGTTGCATATCAAATCAGAAAATCATCTACGCCGGTGTTTAAATCAACTGCTGCATGCGAAAAGTCGAATAATCATTAACACTCTCTCACTGTTATTTTTGTCACTGGAGGTCTATATAATAAAATGTCTAACTACGAATCGTGAATGGGAAACATTATTATGCCGTTTCTCATCAAAATCGTTAAGGATGAAAAAAATAAGACAGCTGTGTAAAATAAAAAAATAAATAAACGTGAGTGTATTTTTGCATGGCTGCGGAAACTAAGTCTGACGTTGTTGTTATCCACAATATTTGACGTGGAGAAAATTTATTGCATATATTATTACGAATGATTTACGCGAGATTTAAAACCAAACTATAAAACCCATCTTGCCCAATTTTAACTGTGTCATTATGTATAAGCTTGGATGAGAATTTTGCGGCGTTGCATCGAATGTAATAATATCAAAATCAGATGAACTTTTGATGCACGTAAGGTACTCTCTCAAAAAGTCGCTTAGTGATATCGATAGAGCAAAAATCTACATACTTACATGTTTAAATCTACAAGACAAAAACAACTCTCAAGAAAACACACAATAATCCACAAGAATGTTAAAATTATAATTACGTATGTAAAGAGAGGAAAATTAGTCGTGGTGTTGATATTGTAATAAAAATTGTGTCACCACCTTGTTAAGCAAACACACGTAAGTGGCGTTTCAAGCAAATCAAAGTGATTGTGGTGCTCAAAACCATATTCGCTCGAGACGCCCTGAAAATCCAGTCTGTTTTATCGATTAATCAAATGTTAAATATTGCTGATTTGAGATGTTTATTTATGACGATGAAAATAACTGTAGGCTCAAAAGTTTATGTAGATGACGAAGATAATTGATTGGTTCAAAATAAAAGTTCATTTTATGTACATCATGAATTTGATTTCCAACAATTTTTTTTTTTTTTAAATGATATTTAATTTTTAAGTTAGGAGAGTTAAATAATGTCTTTTTGCCAAAATATTTAAGATACAACAGCTACAGTAATATCAAAATTTGGTTTTAGTTATTTGATTTTTAGCCAGAAAAATTGTTTTTTTTTTTAATTAAGCTTACAATCAATACTATATGGATGAATAGATCAATAATTTTTTTATCCAAACTGGACAAATAAGATGTTCACATGTTAATTAAAAGCTCTTTTCATTTCTTTTCATTAATTTTGGAGGCAGATTTTTCAAGATTTTGAACTAGCTCAATTACTAAAGAGAGTGTCTACATGATCAATGGCGCGACGTGCACACCATGGAGCACAAAAGATGCAGTTGCCTTTGATGTCGCGCGCGCCAGCCGCAATACTCTCGAGCTCGGTGAATGCCGGTTTTTGAAGGTGCAGGCGCTTTGATGGTTTTACCTGCCTGCAAAGAAAAACAAAAGCGAATTTGCACCCAGAGAAAGCAGGGGATTAATATTAGCCGCCGTGGGCTCGGGACCAAAGGCACATTTCAAGTTGAGGTCTGCAACCCGGCGGCCCCGTGTCAAAGGCGAGTTTGGCCCCCTTGGAGCGCCAGCGACACGTTGACCAAATATTTTCACAAGCAATTTCTGACACCAGACTAGCATAGAGAAACTGCCTGGGTGCCAGAAGATTATTTGGTTAGGTACTAGCAAAGACTAAGCTTTGGCAGCCTTGAACGTTTTACCTTTGAGTTTAAATTTAATTAAATTAAATGTATTTAATTCATTACGTTTTTACTTTACCTTTCAATTATATGTATATACTCGTTTTACATGCCTAAATTTTGCAAAACAAGCCATTACAAATCAGTTGTTGAAGAAGAAAAAATTTGATGAAAAAATAAATTATTATTAAATATAGAATTAATTAAACAATATTTATTTCGGGGCAGGTGAATTTCTAAAATTATGTTCAGCAATTATATTTAGAAATTAGCATCACACATGAAATACAATTAAATGTCTCCAATTAAATTTAATAATCATGCTGACGTTAGAGAATTTTACAAAGCAATTTTCAATGTGGTGCGCGACAAAATAAATAAATAAACCTTTTCCTCATAATCATAAATTATTTCCTTTGTTAAAACCTATTAATTTGTTTCGTATCATAGAAATAACTACACGACCTTCCACAGCAGCCTCCAACTGGCGCGAATCGGCAGACGCTCCATCGCACTCTTACCCTGTTCCTTCCGTGCACTACCACCTACGTCAAGTGCAGGCCGCAAAAAATGTGAACAAGGCAAAATCACCCGCCCGCAGCTTTCGAGTTCAGACTCAAAGGACTCCGTCCGGCACGAGGGCGCCGTGCTGACCTGCGATGCGCGCCAGCTCCACATAGTCCACATCAGGCGACCAGCCTTGGAGTCGCCACCTGGACCATCTTTGTGCCTGATTTTGATTGCGAAAGATACGCGTAGGTCTAAAAAAACATCAGCTATCTTCCTTTACCCTTCGAGTGTCAAATAAATTTTTGTGATTCTTGGAACTTAAGTTCAGGTGCTCATGTTTTCTGTCATATTTGATTGATTGATTTATTTATTAAATACCAACGGTATACAACATACATACTAGACATAAAATAAAGTAAAAATCGGTCACGATATTTAAATTCATTTATGTTTTTTGTGACTTCCCTCTCCCTCAATCAAATTACTGCTCGATTTATTGTAATTTTATGGTAATATTTTGATAATATTTTATCCTGCAATCAAAGCTCAGGGCTTCTTGACACCTTACCGCAGCACCTCTTATTGACTTTAAAGTCAATAATTTTCAGTATAAAAAAAAAATAAAAGTAATAATCTTTGTTATTAATTGAAAGTTAAAATTTTTAATTTTATTTAGCACTAAAACTAATAAAGATTAATAAATTTAATTATTTTCTTCAAGTAACTTTTAAAATAAAGTGTTTTTGTTCAATTTGCGCACTGGTTAGTACATCAAAAGGGCTCAAAAGGGAGAGGCGCGTCAGAATAATCATTAGACTCGGTAGTGGCTCACAATACTGGTCGACTGCTAAGTTCGGAGTCCATCAGCGTGCTGTTGGACAGTATAATTAAATCATGAATACTTTTAATTCCATCATGTCAACTACAACAATACCTTGAGCAGTTTGAAAAGAGCAAGACATATATTTTCAGAGGAATCAAGCTCCATGACTTTGTCGGTGACCAGGCACAAGTCATCATAACCAGGATCTCTGCTCATTCACTAGTCTTCTATAGTTATAGTAGTGCCCTGAACCGTTTCCACCTCTGTGGAGGCCCAATCCAACCAGCTCGAATTTTAAGGTACAAGTTTTGTTCGTCTCAGGGCTACGGTTATAAAATAAAGTTAATAAGTTACAAAAATTAATTATTCATGAAACCCACTCTTTATGTTGCACAGAAATAATTTTTGTGAGCTCCAAGTGTTTAGTTTCTGTATCAATGCTGGTCTCCACCTTATCCACGTGACATATTAAGAACCTTCATGCAATTACATATATATTAAAAAATAAAAATAAAACAAATCAATTTAAAATTACTTTGGTTTGTTTCGCAAAATAATTTCCGACGTTGTTGCTCACAGCGAGAACCTTGGCTAAAAGTAAGAAATGTATCAAAACGGTCTTGTATGCTTGATTCGCGTTCTAAGGGAAGGTAGCTGATGAAAATGGCATCTGGACTCTTTTTGTCTTTGCGCTTGCAACTGTTTCATGTTTCATACAAAAATATTTCACTGTATAACGTTCAATTATATATCAATTATAAGTAATTTTTCAAAATTAATAAATTAATTTATAAACTTTCATAATATGTAAACTACCAACACTTGAAAAAGCGTTTTTTTTTTTCTTCTTTCATTCACTCTCTTCCAACTTGTCACATAAAAAATTTCACAGATTAATAAATAGCCATTTAAAATAATCCATGTATAATTAGCCTGACTACATAATATGAGCTTTAAAACTTAATTTCTTTTATTTCAACAATAAAGTAGTCAATTAAAAATTAAAATAGAAAAAGTAAACCCAGAATAAGGCCGCAGTTACAAGAAATCCCAAGTGGGGATTATAAATCGACGGCGAAATGTAGGCGGAATTAAAATGAAATCAAAAGGCAAAAATTGACGTCGAAAATGAAAACGCAAGCGAATTAAAATCGTTATAATGAGCTCTTATATAAATATATATAAATAAGAACATACCACTCCCAGATTTTCCTGCTCAAAATCCGGGTCCTCCACCAGCGTGGCCTTGCAAATTGAAGACGCAATCAGCTCAGGAACGGACTGAATTCCGACGGACGCTTCGATCTGCAATTCGGGCGCCGTCTCAAAAACTCATGCGGGCTGGTTTTCGGGCCCGAAGTCTTCAGAATTCTTACTGGTGGTAGATGTTGTCACTGAGTGGATTTCTTTCAGGGTGACTCGTCGGAGTGGGTGTTATCGTCAGAAAGTTGAACTCCGTAGTTCTGATAATTTTTTGTCGAAATTCGAATCCCAGTCAACTAGTTGAGATTCTTCCGAGTCTGAAGACGAAAATGACATCTAATCTCACCAACGACGGATTTATTACTTCGAATGTGAGAGAAGAATGGGCCAAACCAACAATGAGAATTTTTCTGAAAAATCGTTAAGATTTAAAATGATGATAGTATTTGATGAGAAAAGTATTTTGATTGTTGAAATTAAATAATTACCAAAACCAACAATGAGAATTTTTCTGAAAAATCGTTAAGATTTAAAATGATGATAGTATTTGATGAGAAAAGTATTTTGATTGTTGAAATTAAATAATTACCAAAACCAACAATGAGAATTTTTCGGAAAAATCTTGAAGATTTAAAATGATGATAGTATTTGATGAGAAAAAAGTATTTCGATTTTTGAAATTAAATAATTACCGAAAGTATCAAAACCAACAATGAGAATTTTTCTGAAAAATCGTTAAGATTTAAAATGATGATAGTATTTGATGAGAAAAGTATTTTGATTGTTGAAATTAAATAATTAAAAAAATTTATGATGAGAATGATGAGATAAAAGTTTATAAAAAAAAGTTTATTAAACTTTTCATACCATTTTAATATAGACTAATTTTACAAATACCAGAAGGAAATTAAAAAACAAAGTTATTATTTTTTCGTTGATTACAAATAGTAATTTGAGTATTATTTTTTTATCAAAGAAATTTTTTTTGCGATTTATGTATGCTAAATGAATCAACAGGAAATATAAATAACCAAAGTTATAGCAATTTTTATACAAATTAATATAAATAACTGGATGCAATAATATTAATTTTATTACTAGCTGCGTAAACTTTGGCGATCGAAGCAAAATCGCTGATCGCTTCAAATGGGCTAAATCCATACCCGGTCAGCTAGCAAATAAGCTAAATTCACTTTTTTCAAACTTTTCAGCAGGAAGAAACACTGAATTAAATTTGAACCCTTGTGCGCAGTTGAAGCGCAATCATTTAGAATAATTCCCTCCACTGTATATCTATTTTAAGAGTTTTTTAGTGCTACGTCTAAAAGGGCATGGTGCTGTGGCTTTTCGCCAAATGAACGACTATTTTTTTGTTTTTTAAATATAACACAATTTGCAACTAAATTTAAACCATTTGCTTTTTTATTCACTACTGTTGCTTTACTTGCTTTGTTTGATCAGAGTTTAATTTTATTTCCTTTTTATCCTTTTCGAGTTTTCCGCCAAACCTCCCTATAGCTGTAACTCTGCTCGCGAGACTGCGCCACTCCCCTAGCAGTTCAAACAGGTGGCCTATTGTGAAGGGCCTTTTCCGGGAAAGTGCGCTCCAGGCGGGAAATCTGCCAACTTTCTCAGCTGACTGGTTGCAAGAACGATTGGAAAATTTTCATTTTTTTATAGATAAAACTAACAGATCTGAAAGTTGATACCGGTTGATAAAATAATATCACTTTTAATTTTTATGAATTTTTTAGGATGTTGCGCAATATCAAGATTATGTAATTTCTAGGAATTAATTTTTCTAAATAAAATCGTTTTTTTTAAAATACGTTTTTTTAAAGCTTAGTATATCTGAATTTTCTGTTTTTATCAAAGGTTAAGTGTCAATCTTTTCCAAAATCAAATAATTATATAACTCTATGAGCTGTAATTACGGCCTAATGGCTGGAATGATTGTCAATATTTTATCACTTACACATATTAATCAATGCAATCCACGTTAATTTTATTCAACGTCACGAGTATTGCGCGTTATCAGAGCAGTTGCTGCTTAGTTAGATACTGAGCATTTACGGACCTAACTTCATATTACACTCACGTGTATAATATAAGCTTTTGTCCCCTATTGCGGCACATTAGGGAGTTACTGCAAAATGCTTGACGCGCGTCTTATCTAATCGGTGATTTTCGTTTTTATCTCGGTTTAGCTCACCAAGGATGGACCTAGTCAATGAGGGTTTTGGCAGATATAAAGTCATTCTCTTTATGTCCATCGGTGAGTTTGCCATCACCTCGATCAAACTGGAATTTCGTCAAGGATTGTTGCACACGGAACTAAAGAGTAAGTTTTATTAAGGCATTATTGATTTTAATCTTAATTTCAAGTATGTGTAACGCAATATCTCAAAACAATTGCTCAATTAAATTTCCTTCCAGTCTTTCATCATAGATTTTTAAGAATTAAAATCTAAATAATAACTTTTTATAGTAGATGGTTATCGCAATGATTGTATGACGAGGATTCTCATATTTTTTACGGGCAATTTTTAAAAATTTTATAATGGCGTTGCATAACTTTTTTTCACCTGATGCAATCTTACCACAAGTTAGGCTGAAGCAGGCTGAAGTACAGACCTTATTATGGCTACGTTTTTTGCTAAAAAGAAAAATTTTTAAAATTCTGGTTTTAATTTTATTTCATTTGTTAGCATTTTTAGCCTATAATAAGAAAAATTAATCAAAGAAGTTAATAATTATTTCAAAAAAGTGATTACGTAATTAATTACAATTCTAGTCCAGAGATCAAACATAGATAATAGTTATCATTATATTGTTCATTAGTTCTTTGGCAATTAGTAAGCAAAATATGGTTTATATCAATCACGTTGTATTACACGCGCAAGGCAGAAATTTAACAGGGAGACCAATTCAAAAAGAATTTCAGTCAAATTATTATCTGACAGTATAGAAGATAAGGCCTGATAAAAATACATGAAGTGGTCAATGTTTAAAAAATAAAGATGACATTAAAAAATTCTATCCTTATCAAAAATATGCAAATAGACTCATGAAAGCCGCATCATATTGTCCTGTTAAATAAATTGTTGGTCCGAGAAAAATTGCGGCAGGCAGGTAGTTACGCAAAACGGTGAACGGCCTTTTCGCCCTCCGCGCCCAACCAACACACACGCACACATTGGTTTCCAATATTATTTGCAAGGAAGAGTGAGTAGAGGGACGAGATAATTTGCTCTTCCTGCCTATTTCCGTCCGACCCACAAGCAATTACGCAACGTCTTTCTACCTCAGGGAAGAATTTTCCCAAAATTTTTTGTCTCTTTCAACGAATTTTGTGATTATTAAATTTGTTCCGAATTTACGAGAAATAATAATCAAAATACTTTTGACGTCAGAATTGAACGGCGGTCAAAATGAAGGAACCCAAGGAGCTGGAGAAGCAAGTTCTAGACGACGGCTATCAAGCTGACGTGGTCGTCACCACCAAACTCAAGCAACTCGATCCAGATTGGATTGAAGCCCCGATAAAAGAGAAATCTTATTTTGAGTAAGTCACTTATCGAGTTTTCTTAAAATTTTTAATTTTTAAATTCATTTGAAAAATTTTTGAACAAACTTCCATTTATTAGCATAAATTAATTTTTTAAGTCCTTGCATTTTTAAGAATTATATGAAGATTATTTTTTTCTATAAAATAATTTTATTTTTATTCATCAAAATCAACTTTTCACAAATTCTTGCAATTATTTTTGTTAGATCTTCAATAATGAATTGATAAAAAAATTCGTATATTTATACAATCTAACTAAACCTAAATTCTTCTCCCTCAATAAAATTTTACCCTCTTTACCTTCATAGGGAGCAATAATCATTGTTTTTTTAATCGTTTTACAGAAAAGATAAAAAGTCAAAAAAGAAGAAAGGCGGCGACGATGAAGAAAAATCAAACCAGCCTTCAGCAGTCCCGCCAGTTGGATTTTTCCAATTAGTGAGTCCGAAAACTTTTTCCTTTGTCCCTAAATTACAATATTACGTGCTTGACAACTCCCGCCGCGCGTTCATTAACTAAGCAGCAGTTCGAAATTCCGGCTGATTAGATTTCCACCGTACCGAAATAATTCTCTCAATTCGTCGGCCTGATCCAGCGGAAATCATTGAATTACGACGCGTTTGGCAGTTTTAGAATCGAACAAATAATTTGATTGCAGTTTCGATTCGCCAACGGCTTTGACATTTTCCTGATGATGATCGGCATAGTTAGCAGCATTTGCACTGGTCTTTGCCAGCCGCTCAACGTGTTGCTCATGGGTGACCTCACAGGTGCTATGGTCGACCAAGCACTCAATGGATCTCAATGGAACGCTACAAATCCCCCTCCTCCGTAAGTTTCACACAAATATAAAATATAGAATATCAATTGATAGTCAATCGAATATAAAACAATTTTTAGTTAATGAATACCAATTTATTTTACTTTCATATTTTATTTCACAATAATGTCATATCTTGTGAGGTTTTTATTCTAATACACAGTTTTAACTTAAATGGCAATTTACATGTTTTAAATTCCCTTTTGTCAGAAAATATATTCTAACATAAGCAATGCAGTTTGAGTGATGAATGACCCTTTGGCAAAGATAAATGGCTGCTTTCCTGTGACTTTTTCCAACCTTAATGCGTTCGCGTTTATTTCAGCGAGGTCATTGAAACGATTCAGCAAACTTTCCTCGACGCCGTCGTCGCGTTCGCCGTCAACAACACCATTTTGGGCGCGGTGATGTTGGTGCTTTCTTTTACCGCCGTCGCCTGCTTTGATAACGCGGCCAAACGTCAGGTGAGATGAATGTGCACATTTATTTTCAAAGTGCCTATTTTTACTATGCATGCGAATAAAACGCCCCAAATAATACAAACTATAAATTTGTATTATTTTCTATTTTTAATAATAAAATATTTTATTAAATCCTGTTAAATCCCAAAAATCACAGAAGTGTGTACGATTTTTCACTCCTCTATCTTGCGATATTTTATGGCTATAGCCAAAGTCTTAATAACTATTTCATGATAATATGAATCTTAATTTTCTTAAGGTTAATCGAATCAGAGATTTGTACTTGAGAAGTGCTTTGAGACAAGACATTGGCTGGTATGACACTAATATGACCGGCGATTTGGCTAGCAAGATGGCTGAGTAAGTATAGCAGAGCCGTACCCTTTTGTTTCGTTCACGCGACGTGAGCTAGCAAATATTTTAATTCCTTGAAATTTGTCTGAAGGAATTGTTGTGCTTTGTATCGTTAATGATGTGTCACAGGCTCAGAGATTTTGAATGCTCTGCTCAAAGTCTCGTTTTGAGAAGAGTTCGGCTGCTGCTGTTGTCAACCATTTGCCGCTAATGGAAAAAGCAGCAGCCTTCAAGAGCCGTCGGCTCGCAATTTTGCCAAATTGTTTTACTGAAAGCATGTTGCCTTCTCTAAAAGTAGCGAGAAAAAGACAAAAAACCAGAGACATCCAAGCATGTTGCGCTGCGCATCAAATTAAAAAGCCTGCTGCAACTCGGCATCAGTGCTGGAGAGAATAAAAATACTTCACTGCGCAATTTTAAATCACCCTTTACACTCCAATGGCTGTAATATAGCAATTCAAAAATACCGTGATCATTATATTGAACGTTTAAGAAATTTACTCCATATATATATTTTTTTTTTTTAATTTTCAAGTTTACATTTATTTGATAATATATTTTTTTGTGGTTTGCTATTCGCAAAATTAAGCAATTCAAGTAAATGCTGTAAAAGCTTTAATTTTTTATTATTAAATGAAATTTTAGGAACATTACAAAATTGGAAGATGGCATTGGAGAAAAAGTCGGCATGTTCATCCACTTTATTTCCGCTTTCCTTGGCTGCATGGTTTTGGCCTTCATCAACGGCTGGGAACTGACTTTGATTTGCCTCATCTCGCTGCCAGTCACCATGATTTCTGTCGGAATCGTCGCTGTTGTAAGTTTTTTTTTTAACTCTTTGCTGTGTTTATCAAGATAAACCCGATTTGTGTTAAGAGGAAGTTAAAAGCTTTCATTCCCAACCAATGTAATTCGGCTTGAGTAAGAAGTTTTATTCCTCCAGAGACCGGTTCTTGAGCGGAAATTGCCGCTAGCAAAATATTCACTCTGGGCATTAAAGAGTTAATTTCTTTTCCGCTCTCGGCGCCGATCGCTTACACGAAACCAAGCATGGGCATTCGCGTCACGTAGGGCGCCAAAGCCGCAGATTTCCTTTGCCTTGCTCGCTCTCTGTGCTCTCAAGAGCGGAAAGTGTGTGGAGTTTTCCATGCCCGTGAGTTTGTAAGCACGTGTGCGGCGAACAAGTTAATGGAATCGCTCTGGATTAAGCATTCTAATGGATATCAGAGTGTGGCGCGCGCTTCTTCCTTCTGTGGCTAGCGGCGGAAAAATCAATTTGAGAATCTCGGAGTGGAACTAAATTTTATTTTAATATGTCGGAGTTTTTCGCGCTTGGTCTTGTCGTCTCGCAGCCCATTGTCAAATGCATGGAATTGGGGCGAGCGCAGCAAGAGGGAATCCAATTTCCTCCCAACCGCCTGCTAACGTAAATCTTCGGTGTCACGTTCACGAATTAGCACTTCAGATCTAGCAAGGAATAATAGGTCCTTGTAATATCTCATTGCAAATATGAATTAATATTTTTGTAACAACATTAAGTTTATTAATTATTGCATATTCTTGTTTTATTCTTTTTGACTTCATGTGGAGTGTAAATAAATAATCACGTCATAATAATTTTGAAATTTATTTTAGCAATGAAAATTTATGACGTATTGAATTAAAGAATTTAATAAAATTCCATCGTTAATAACAAATGTCCTATTAATCTCCTAGTTTCGTGATTGAATTTTTACTTATTAACTTATAAAATTAAAGTGTTTTTCGTGTGTTAATTATTCTTTTAGTTTTAAAAAATAAGAATATAGAATGTATTTTTTTTTTAATTAGAAAAAAAAAACGCTTGAAAATGAAGCTCCGAACCGCAGCATATTCATACATCTTCAAACTTACTCCCCTAACTCCATTTCAAACTTTTGATTTTGTATTAGGTGACGACGAGACTGGCGCGTAGGGAAGTTGAAGCTTACGGCAAAGCGGGCAGCATCGCCGAGGAAGTTTTGAGTAGCATCAGGACAGTGATTGCTTTCAACGGCCAGAAAAAAGAATCACATAGGTAAACTCACATTACTTAAGGAAAAACAGAAAAATTGAGTAATTTAATATTTTATTTCCAATTGAATAGATACGACGGAAACTTAATCTTTGCTCGCGACAACAATATCAAGCGGTACTTCTTCTCTGGCCTAGGGTTTGGCCTGCTGTGGTTCTTCATCTACGCCAGCTACTCGCTCTCCTTCTGGTATGGAGTCGGTCTCGTCCTAGAGGAAAGAAATCTACCACCTGAGGAGGTTACGTACACTGTTGCAGTGATGGTCACCGTAAGTAGAAACTTTGATTTTAAATTTCCCTGTAAAAACCACCAGAGCCTGAAAATGTAAAAAGTTAAAAGTAGAAAACTCATCAAAGATATTTTTAATTCACAATTTTTTTTTATTATATTTACATTCAATTACAAGGTTTTTTAATTTGTTTACTTAATCTTAATAAAAATAATTAATTAATAATTTAAATTTTCAAGTAATTTATTATGGTCTTATTCAGTTATAAAATCTAAATTAATTTAAATATTCCTGACTTTGGTAGCAGTAAGTTCATTTTATTTGTTGAGAATTAAATTAAACACTCATAAAAAAGACCATTATTTTCATCTATAAGTTAAAATTTACCAGCAATCTATTGAACCATGACTGTGACTTACCGGAATATAAAATATAAAAACAAAACCGAGAATACAGTCGGATTTAGAAACAAAACTTTAGAACAACGTTAAATGAGTAGTAATTTGTTCAATTATTTAATGTTTTATTTCAAAATCTTGTATTTTTTTCTACAAAATACTGTCTGTGCTCTTGGGTCGATGGATTTTTATTTCGTTATGCGCTGCGACTTTTTTTCTTGACAAAATTTATCTCTCGCCGCACAATGGCAACAAAAAACCGCCCCTGGGTGTCGAGAGAGAGAGACAATTTATACGATCCCACTTTTCACGCCGTTGCAATTTAGGTGTTCTTCGGCGTAATGATGGGCTCGATGAACATCGGCATGACGTCGCCCTACGTGGAGACCTTTGGCATCGCCTGCGGTGCCGCCGGCTCGGTCTACTCGGTGATCGACCGAGTGCCGCCAATTGACAGTTTGAGCGACGCCGGCGAAAAGTTGGACCAGGTCAAAGGGTCGATCAAGTTCAAGAGGGTGCGTTTCCAGTACCCTTCGCGGCCCGACGTGGAGGTGCTCAAGGACCTCGAACTGTCCATCCAACCGGGCAAAACGGTCGCCCTGGTCGGTTCCTCCGGTTGCGGCAAGTCCACCTGCGTTCAACTCATTCAGCGATTCTACGACCCGGTCGATGGCCACATCGAACTGGACGGACACGACATCCGGACGCTCAACCTCAACTGGCTGCGTAACCACATCGGCATCGTCGGACAAGAGCCGGTGCTGTTTGGCGCCACCATCAAGCAGAACATCCGCTACGGAAACGAGAAGGCCTCAGACGAGGACATTATCCAGGCGGCCAAGGACGCCAATGCGCACGACTTTATCATGAAACTGCCACAGGTTTGTTTAGAAACATTTTAGTTTTTGCTGTAGAAATACATGGGCATTAATTGCGCAGAGAAACAACAGCGCCTGATCTCGAATTTTAATAGCGTTAGTAAATTTTACTGCCTCAGCTTGTGTCTCTTTATCTCGAGAAAATATATTATTGCTTTATTTACGCGTCATTTGTGGCAAAGATAAGGAAATATTTTTTTATGTTGCATGTGCTTGCGAAGTTTATTGCTGATTATTTTTAGGCCAAAGTTACATAATAATTAAAAATATTTCCTCAAATCTGGCAAAAAATTTCAGATAATTTTTACAATTAACTATTTTTGTCTGAACTATTTAATTTTAGAAGAAGATGCAAATATAGATGTTTATTTCAATTATTTAACATAATATTTAGGGTTTAATTGCATAAAACTCGTTTTACAATTACATCAAGATGTATAATCAACAAGATTGAATGGATTAAATCACTGAGACCACAAATTGAAGAAATAATTTAATATAAGACAAAAGAGAGATTTTTTTAAATTCTGATTGGACAATTAACTTCAAAGTGAGACCCTTCAATTTTAAATGCGAATATTTACACTGCACGCTGTTTAATTAATTTGAATAAACATTAATTTTTGTTAAATATCTTTATTTTTCAACTATTTTTTAGCAATATGACACCCTGGTAGGTGAGCGTGGAGCTCAGCTCTCAGGAGGACAAAAACAGCGCGTCGCTATTGCAAGGGCGTTGATCAGGAAACCGGCAATTCTTCTCTTGGATGAAGCCACCTCAGCTTTGGACACTAACAGCGAGGCTAAAGTACAGCAGGCTTTAGACAGAGTGAGTTTGTTATTACATTTTACCCAGAAAATAGTTACAAGTCAGTAATGCCTTTTTTTCATTTAAGTTCACTTTAAAAAAATTAAATCGGCACTAATATAAATCAATCTGAAGTTTAAAAAAAAAATCATAATTGAAATTTTATACTTCTTTCACTTGAATGAAGCAAATTATATAATTTTTTTTCTTCAGGCTAGCCAAGGACGTACCACCATCATCGTTGCTCACCGCCTCTCGACAATTCGTAACGCAGACAAAATCGTTGTGCTCAATGGAGGGTACGTGGTGGAAGAAGGAACGCACGCCGAACTTATGAAAGTGCACGGACACTACCACGAATTGGTCACCGCACAGCTCTCTTCCGACATGGAGGTCCACGCCAGAGCTAAAGGTTTTTTGACAATTTTTTTTTTAATTTCTTGATCTCTGTACCTTTTCCTTTAATTCAATTAAAGAGGAGGAAGCAGAGGGCGTAGGATTGAGACGGCGACTGGTGAGCGAATCCAGCAGCACGCACAGTGCGGAAGTTGAGGCGTACATTCCGGTCAAAGAAGAAAAACTGAAGGTAAGTTTTCAAACAGATAATCTAAAAGGTTACGTTTCATTCCTTTATTCTCTCTTTATGTAGGAAGAAGTCGCGCCAAAGGTGCCTTTGTTAAAAATCATGCAAACCAACAAGCCGGAATGGTTGTACATCACTTTGGGCTGCATCACGGCCGCCCTGGTTGGCTTCAGCATGCCGCTTTTCTCCGTCATTTTCGGCGACATCCTTGGAGTAAGTTTAAAGTCGATGCTTGCTTAGTTTTATTACATTTTCTTAACAAAGAGGAGAGTGTATTAATCTAAGTGTTTCTGCAGTTTAACACGTTCCATTTATACGAGAGTGATAAATTTAAGTTTAACATTTTTTTTTTATCTTGAAGTGGATCATTACAGTACTTGGAAAATAAAAATAGTGGCCAGCTTTGACGTATAAACCATTTAAAAATTGTTGGACAGTAAAATTTCATTAAAAAAGTAAAAAGTATAAGAGGTGAAATAAATTTAAAAAAAATATAAATATTATTCATAAAATAGAACAAATAATAAATTTTATATCAATTTATGTTATGAAATCTGACCTAATTGATTTTGATGATAAAATTAACTTCAATTAAAATCAATTCTGAAAGACATTTTTAGTTCTTTGTGTTCGCATCCCCTTTAAAACTTAATTGGCTCCACTGAAACAGTTCCCGACACGGCCTAGCTGCTGGGCAATTTCACTCTTGCACTAAACACACGGTCGTTCTTTTTTATAGACCCTGTCCAACCCCGTAGACCAAGAGGTGCGTGACGAGGCCAACATGTTCTGCCTTTATTTCCTGATATTGGGCATCATCATCGGCATATCCTCTTTTGTGCAGGTGCGTTTCGATCGAAATAATTGCGCGTTTTACGTGTGCTGACAATCCATTATTCTTTTCAGATCTACACATTCGGCGTGGCCGGCGAACGTTTGACCCTCCGACTGCGCTCACAGTCCTTTGCGGCTATTCTGAAACAGGAGGTGGCCTATTTCGACTCAGATGCTAACAGCGTCGGAGCCCTTTGCTCGCGACTCTCCGGAGACGCGGCCAACGTGCAGGGGGTCAGTTGTTATTTGCTTTTTATTCGTCTCGTATACCGTCTGCCTTTTTACTGCACAAATGCTCCCGCTGTGCGCCCTAAGCGGCATAAAAAGGTCAATTATTAAATTTTCCACTGCCTTAAATTTTAGTAGACACACGGCTCATTTACCATTGCCATCATTATTTTTTTATGTTGTCATTCAGTTTAGCAAATACTATTATTTATTTTCAATTAAGATTTTTTACTTTTAAGTTAGTAAATACTACATGCATAATATAACATAATTCACAATGCACGTCATATTGTTAATTTTATAATTACTTGTCATTAAGTTATAAAATCGACAAAAGACACATTACAAATTTTTTACTTCTTTTGTTTATAATTAAAAATAATTATATTAACTTATAAAAATAAATTTTCATCATAGATTTAAATAAGCATTAGTTTTATAAAAGAAAAAAAAATATTTTAAAAATATTTTATTTTTTTTAGTTTTCAATTTTTAAAATGTGACAATTCATTTTTTTGTTATTAAACAAAGCTAATTTGATAATTATAATATTTTTAACTCATAATTTAATAATTGTGCCACTTGAAGAATGGTTAATAACTATTATTGATTAATAATCAAGTACAATGGTCTATTCCTCAAGAAATTTTGCATCTGGAGATAAAAGAATAATATTAAAGAATGTGGAAAAGTACAGGAAATAAACGTCTGTGCATAACTTATATTCCCGAGAAAGTTGGAAATGAATTCAGTCGTAATGCAAAAATGACGCTAGCCTCAGGGCTTGGCTGAGTGAAAATTTGTTGGCGGCGGGTGCGTCCCTCTGATATGGCGCCAGCATTAAGTATTTACCTGCCTGCAGGCGACGGGCACAAGGATCGGCACCGTTCTCCAATCGATTTCCACCCTTGTTCTCGGCCTCAGCATCGGCCTCTTCTACGAGTGGAGGTTGGGTTTGGTGGCTCTGGCCTTTGCACCCTTCATGATGATTTCGATGTTCTTGATGAGGCGAATGATGGCCGGAGAAAACCAGAAGAACCAGAAAGGAAACACCGGAATCGAAGAAGCGTCAAGGGTGAGTCCTTTTAATCTTGATTTGATTGAGTCAGAGGAGCTGAAAGTGAAAAGGCCTCAGAGATCAAAGTAGTGGGATGAATTAGGGAAAAAGCAATTTGTTTTCTGTTTGCCCGGTCTATGACGTCAGAAGTTAAAAAGTGAAAAGCTGAATACCACTGAAAAAAAAATTAAAATTACAGTTCTAATATATAACTCGATAATTTGTTTCAAACTCTTTGTAATTTAAGGGGATCAATGTGTCTGCACTGCATGTGCTATCTTTGATGCTGAATTTTACTAGCAATATATACAATTATGGATTGAAAATGTTTATTGCTGCGTATGTAAGAGCCATAAAAGCCCACACAGCAGGCGTCTTTGATCTTTACAATTCTTTAACTTTTTATTGCCCTGAAACCCCAGAACTTTTTGTATCTCCAAGGGGCACTTTGGGAATTTATCGCTTTGTGGTGTTGCAAAAAACAAACTTTCTCGCACCTCTGGTACTGCTCCACCCTGTGACGTTTTATAAATTCCAGAGTTTAATTCTCGCTGTCGTTCCCAATTTAGATTGCAGTCGAATCAGTCAGCAACATTCGCACAGTGTCTGGTTTGTGCCGAGAACGGTCCATCCATGAGGAATACATGCGAGAACTGGAGGCGCCTTTCAGAAAGTCGCTCAGGTACTCCGCCACACGCGGCGTTGTCTTCGGCATCGCCAGGTCGCTCATGTTCTTCGCGTACGCCTCTTGCATGTGCTACGGTGGCCACCTTATCGTCAGTGATGGTGTCGAATATGCTAGTGTTTTCAAGTAAGTAAATAATTTTCTCCAATCCACTAATATTAAATTAGAATTTACTTAGTATTTTTAATTGAAAAGAAAATAGGATTATTTCAATGATGCTATGAAATATTCTCCAGTTTTTAAAAGGAAATGTTTACATTTAATTTTTGTCTGGTAACAAAACATTGAAAATTAAAGCGCCTACCTTTTCATCTTATATGCAACCTGCACTTCCTACCATCCGTGTATGTTGCCTAGTTTACATTTCACGGCAATTACTTTTTACTTGAATGTATATTGCATTAAAAAAAGATATTTTATAGAGCGTAAGAAGAAAAATAAATTCTATGTGTAATATTTTCAACTCAAATGTAGCTATGGGATTTTTTCATTGCTTTATATAGAAGCAAAAAATCTTTTGTGCAAAATTGAAAGCTCGGTTGAATAAGGGGTCTTTTCTACTGCACCGAACCACTCGAAACGATGCTTGGTGCAGCGCGTTCGCCTCTCAATAGAGTGCAATTAAGCGTAGCTTTCATGAGTACCCAGCAGGCTGCAATTTGCGCGAAAGGAGCGCCAGTGGAGGGGCAATTAATTTAATTATGTCCAGCAATGGCCGACGTCACTCCTGCAGACTGCCGGGATTGATGTTCACCTGGAGAGGGTGTGACGTCGTTGAATAATTACACACACGCTCTCACGGTCCGGTTCTAATCGCGTTAGCCCCTGGGTATGATTTGCAGAAGGGTCGAAAAGCACCTCCGCTGAAGCCAAAGACAAATTACGACAGTGGCTGTATATAATTGCCATTCCATTCCTTAATTGGCGCTTGTTTGGTGTGAAACCCTGCAATCTATTTAAATTAACTGAATCTGAAAAGGATTTCCTTTTGTTATAAGTTATAATTCCTTTTTGTTTAATCGTGAATTATAGAGAGATTCATACTATATGTAGCTCTGTTACAAGCATTAGTGCAATTTATACAGAATAGAAACAACTCAAAACATTTCAAATATAAGCTTTTTTTAATTTATTGTTAAAAAATAAAAATTAATAACAATATCTCATATTTTTTATAAAAAAAATTTTAAATTTAAATATAAAAAACTTAATAATATATAAAAAAATATTTTAAAAAATTAAATTTTTTTTATATTTCAATTAAAAATTTTTTTATAAAAAATATGACTATTTATGCTTATTAATAGATTTTTACATTTCTTAATAAATTTTTTTTTAATAAATCTAATTGTAAATTATTACTATATAAACTTGGTGAATAATCATCCTGAAACTAAATCTACAATATTTTCAAGCCGTGTGCCATGTGTTGCAACATTCAAGCAACAGCATGTGTTCTTTAGAGCATATAATCTCAGTACGCGCTAAAAAAAAAAAACAAAAAAAAACGACACGCTGTCGAGTCCAACCTGTGCAAATTAACGAGACAGAAAGAAAAAGAGATGCGTGCGTCCGCGAGCTAAAAAAAAAACACGGGCACGTGTTAATTGTAGCGGAACTTTTTCATTCGCAGGACCGCCCAGGCCATCATCATGAGCACCATGTCGGTGGCGCAGGCCATGGCTTTTGCGCCAAACTTCTCTAAAGGACTGATGTCGGCTGCCAAAATTTTCCAGCTGCTTGAACGCGACCCCGCCATCAAAGATAAACAAGGAGCCATTGAAGGACCTCTGGTACTGTATATTATTTTCTACCTCTTTTGATGAATCCTCTCGTCCTTTATGAAATAATGCTGCTCGGCAGACTAACTCAATATTTACATGACGAATGTCCATGGTGGAGGCTAATTTGATTAATTAAATTGTTGTCCTCGCTCCTTTTTGTAGATGTGAGTGTTGCAATAAAAAAATTTAGGTCGATGTAGAGATACATTTCAACATTAAATCAACTTTCAAAACCTATTTTACAGACAAACGGTGATGATACATTTATGATTTTAGATATTGCATGAATTATCATTTCCTTAATAAACTTGGCACAAAAATCATGAATGAAAATGACAATTGGTGAAACTACTGAAAGATAAATATAAATATATAAATTTTCAAACCCCTTACTTTAACATACCTTTAGAATTTAAACATCAACAAGATGAGTCACATGTTAAGTTTCATTGATATATCTTATAAAATATTTTATAAACTTTATAACAGCAAATTAAAATAGTTGTTACTTCACTTGATTTTTTATTATTTAAACAAAAATATTTTATTTATGTCACTTGAAATAACAATTCAGTATTTTGTTTACAGAATTAGATTAAATACAAATTTGGTCTTCACACCCACACTCCTTTACCTCCCAACCGCTTTTGACTTATTTATGAAATGAATTAGGTCTCTCCTTAATTAGAGCTGAAAGCCTTTAATCTCAGTCTTGTTGGCCAGAAAATGCCTTTTTTCTTTTTTCTCTAATTAAAAAAAAATCTACACATTCGTAGGACACAAAGGGCAACGTGAACTACAGCGACCTCCACTTTGTGTACCCGACGAGGCCAAACGCACCTGTGCTCAAGGGTCTCAATTTGTCAATTAAGCCAGGCCAAACAATCGCCCTTGTCGGGCCCAGTGGCTGCGGAAAGTCCACTTGCATTCAGCTGCTTGAGCGCTTCTACGACCCAATCTCGGGCGCTGTGGTGAGTTTTTAAATAAAACGTTGAGCCCTCAACTTAAAATACGTAGACATAAGCTTACTTCGTCTAGGTCGCTAGGAACATATCATGTGATTTTCCAGGGCAAAGCGATGTTGGCACATGGCATTTTGCGATACAATTGAATTCTCTATAAAATTAAAATGCATAAAAAATAATTATTTGGAAAAAAAAAATAAAAATAATTTGAAAAAAATTATCTCTTGTGATACAAAAGAATATTTAAAAATTAATGTAAACTATTTCTTTTTAATTTTTTTTTAATATAAAATTAATTTAAATAAATATAAAAGCAAAGTCAAGGATTTTTTTGAATTAGATTAGACAGTAGATGTTATTATTAAATGTTATAAATTTTATAATAGTTTAATTTGTAGTACCCGAAACGCAACATAAATAAATAGACTCCATATCTCTCAAATGAATAAAAAATTGATTTCGCGTTCAGGGTTTAACACATTTTTATCTAGACGTCATTACGTTTTAATTGTAAGTAAATGAATACCTAATGAGCACCACGGCACGAAAGAGTAAATTACATTTCAAGCCCTTGAAAAGTCTGCTCTCATTCTTTGGATTAAATGAGCGCACCGTGATAACGATCCCTTGGTCGGATTTTAGTCTAATTAGATGGTTTCGCGATTCACAGGAATTGGACGGTCGCGATATTAGCGACATGCAGATGACGGCGCTGCGCTCCAACTTGGGCATCGTGTCGCAGGAGCCGGTGCTATTCGATCGCACCATCGCTGATAACATCGGTTACGGAGATACCTCGAGGGAAGTGGATATAACGGAAATCATCGAGGCGGCCAAAAACGCCAATATCCACAACTTCATTACTTCGCTGCCACAGGTAAGAGTCAAGAAGATAATTTCCTTGCACTAAATTATTTTACAGTTCTTACCTTTTCAAAAGCACACTGCGGTATTCATAACGAGGGTGATCCAAGCCCAGGCTATATTAACCTGGCCCGGGCTAATTTGACCCGCCATTTCATTTGGCTGGTGTGTTAATTTAGCTCAGACTAGGCTAAGTAAGTCAGGGGCAGGAAAAGCTATTGGATCGTCCTCAATTACTATTGAATAATTTAGAATTCGATTTCTTCAAGCTTATTATTTTATTGGTCGACTTTAATTGAATAATATTTGGTGTTTATGAGGATTAAGAGGAAAAGGGATTAGATAATTAAGATATAAAAAATGACCAAAAATTTAGTTTAATAATAAAAATTATATTCTGAAAATGTTAGCAAAAATATTTATTAAAAATAATTAAAATTTATAATATTTATAGTTTTTATATTATATAAATTAAACATTAAAAATTTATTTTATTTTATTTTTATATATTATATATATATTTTCTTTTAATTTTTTTTCATTAAAATAATTTACACACAAAGAAAAACATTTATACACGCAATTGATCATTGGTTAAACTAGAAATTTTTTAGCTTAAATACTTTGCCGAGGAGTAAGGATGAGAATTATATATTGTTTCAAATTAAAAATTTATTACATCCACCAGCTCTAGCTCGCATTATTTATTTACATAATACATTATAAATTAAAAAAAAATCGATCCATATTTAATTAAATTTATTTTTTGATATGAGCTTCTTTCTTTGCCTTTATTATACATGACACGTGTTGCTCAATCGTAAAATAAGTCATTGAAAAGTTTTCACCTTTACCGCGACCTCAAGCCATATAAAATCTCAATTCAACCATAATATATTCTGGAGCCCTCAAGTCAGTCACGTGGAGAGTGAGTGCGTGAACGTAGCGCATAAAAACCTGAAGCCTAAAAATAATTCATCATCAGAAGCCTGGTCGGTGTTGACGTTCGCTCTCTCATTGTGCCGCACTTTTCCTCTCTTTCTCTCTCTTTGCGTTTAATTTCTTTGATAACGGGAAAAATCGCTCGTGAATTCGCTGGGAACAAAACTCGCGCGGTTTGCGAGCACAATGAGGAGAACGAGAGCTCTCTTTACAAAACCCGAACCCGCCGCGTGTCTGCTCAGAGCAAGAAATTCAGCAGGGAGGAATAATGAATTGAGTCTACCCCTGAGGCACAAAATGTTTGCGTTAAATTTTTCCACCAAGCACTGCTGACGACATCGAGCGCATGGATTTTTCCATGGCAAAGTTAATTTCATCTCGTCTCGTTTGTCGGCACCCCAAAAAAAGTCAATCAAAATCAGCGTCAAACTAAATTTGCAATGTAACACAAAAAAGCTCTCAACGGCATCCGTCATTTTTATCACAAGTTCCACGAGGGATTTATTAATTAAAATGTTAATTATGGCAAGCTTCGTCTTTTTATTTATTTATTTTTTAATTGTAAGGATGAAGGTGAAAACAATCTAAAAATCACTAAAAATGAGCTTTTTAAAAAATGTCAACATTTTCTTTTTATTCCTCGTGAATTGTCGAATTGAAGACATTTGATTAAAATTAGCTCAAGATGAAAACAGTTTTAAAAGATTAAAAACGCTTTTCTAATTGGAATAAAAAATTTTTTGTAAAAATTCTTATATATTTTTTTCCAATACTGTAATTTCATGTTTTTAACAAAAGTTTCCAAAAATTTTCAGGGCTACGACACTAGGCTCGGTGAAAAGGGCACTCAGCTGTCAGGTGGACAAAAGCAGAGGATTGCCATCGCCAGGGCACTGGTGAGGAACCCTCGAGTTTTGCTGCTGGATGAAGCCACGTCTGCTTTGGATACCGAAAGTGAGAAGGTATGTACGATGCAGATTTACAAACAATGCGCCCTACTTTAAGTCAAAGCGCAGGTGTGCTGGATAAATACTTAATGGCCAACTGGCTTTGAACCGCTCTTTGCTTTGTTTGCATTTCGATTTATTGCGGCTGCTGGCTTTAAGCGGTACAATTAGTTTTCCCACAACCCCGGAACGAACGCCGCTCCTGATTTACAGCTTGGCTATATATTCGGTTATTTAATGCCATTGAAAAAAAAAATCAGCAGATACAAAAAAAAATAGGTACATAATTAAATTTATTAAACCACACTTAAAAGTTATTCATATTTTTTTTAATTATTCATACATAATTAGTGAAGACGGTCACAACGCTTAGAGAGCTACTAGTTGGTTCTTTAGCAAGTTTGAAACTTCTGAAAAGTTCAATGAGATTTTCAACTAATTATTAATTTATTTTTCTGTTCCGACGTCAGTTTATAAAATAAAATATACAAATTATAATTGAAAGTTTTTCCACTCCAATGAAAATCTGAACACCTGATTCCACTTCAAGCGATTCACTATTCGGGGAAAGTTGTGTTCCCAGAACATAAACAGAAAGTTTTGCTCGAAAGTTGAGCTTGTACTCGCGCTTTTAAGACTCGCAAATTAGAGTCGTTCGCGTTTTGAAGTAGACTGAGCCGTGCAAAAGCCTCGAAGTTGCAACAAAAGCGTTAAATTTCATTTTCTCTTGCGGCTCTTAGCAGCACTCCGGGGAAACTTCGTTCCTGCCCCATTTTACGAGAGAGCATTAAAAACAAGCTAAAGATTGTTGTCAGTGCCATAAACGCATGTCCTCTCTCGCTCTCAAGTATAGATAGGATGTGAGAGTGGTTTTTCTACTCGTCCTCACTCTCAAGTAAACTTGAGCAAAAATCCATCTTCTGATTTCTATATCGCACAAGTCGTTGACGTTATAGCGCGTTGAGTGTGAAAAATTGAAGGCAGCTGATGCAATTTATTAGCTGCTTTATTGACGATGGAGTGCTCAGTAATGCGAAAACAGTCGTGTGAAATTGGATTCCCAGTATTGTTCCACACTAGCTTTGCCTTTCCATTACTTTTTATTACGTTTATATTCGTATGAAAGCAGATACCATTGGGAAAATGAAAATAAAATTAATGCTCTTCTCCTTGGACCCCCCTCTTGAGATTCAATATAACAGGCGCTGATTAAATTTTCCAAATGTTTAAAATGCAATTTTAAATATCGAAGTGCTGAAAATGGGACAAATCAAAAATATTTATTTAAAACGCTGCTAGTCATATTTTTATCTGAAAGTTGAATCATAATTTTATTCTAATAATAATTAAATTTTTAAAGCTCAAAAAGTTTTATTGACGTAAAATTATGATAAAATTAAATTATATTCCAGAATCAAACATTAAAAAAATAAATTCCATAGCCTATTTTTAAAGACGCCAACACTGTCATTCAAAAATAACATAAAACCTACTACGTTTAAAGGGCAAAGAATTATTGCTTATTGCGAACGAAACTTTGTGAAAGAAGCTTTCACAATGGCTTTCCGATTTGGCCACAACAAGCGATTGCGAGTGGGGCAAAGTTGAGCATTATTTATTTTTCTCAAGCCGCTGCTCCATTGACATCGAACGAGAGGCAGAATTCTCCTTGCAACTCCGTCATTATAATAACACAATTTCGACAGGTGGTTCAAGAGGCTTTGGATAAAGCGCGCCAAGGCAGGACTTGCATTACAATCGCCCACCGACTCACCACCATTCAGGACGCTGACGTCATCTGCGTCGTCGACAAAGGACAAATTGCTGAGGCAGGTAAGCATTCCGAACTGCTGGCAAAGGGAGGCATCTACTACAAGCTGCACTCGCTCCAGGGTGGAGCAAAATGAACAAATTACATGTATTTATTTTAATATGAAGAAATCTTTCATAATTGTTAAACAATTAAAAAGTGGTGAATTTGAGGACAATTGAATTTTTTAATTACACAAAAAAAATCCGAAACAATCATGAAAGTTCCTTTTGATAACATAAGTATTTTTTTGGTAAATACGAAAATGTGCATATCAAATCAAATAAAATTTAATGTGATTAAAATTTATCCCATCTGCAACTCCACAAGCCTGATGGCTGATAAAGTTATTATTTTAATTATTCTGAACATTATATTTCACAATAATAAATTTTCATGAGCTCATGTGGCATAGTCGAGAAATGATTTTTTGCCCTCGTAGAGAGACGAGTCTTTTCATTGCAGTTTGTTATTTTTCAATTTATTTTATCTCGTGACATTGACAGCTAATGAGGAAGCTGCCATGCTCTATTTACTCAGTACCTGTGATATATCTATACGTGCTCATTTTCCATTCACACAAATACTCACATCAAGCAACGCCACCAACAAAACACAGAGCCCTTGGAGCGCAAATATATAGTGTCAAAAGCAGCGAACTTCACACGCCGCTTTACATGGAGAATATGCACTACGTATTTATGTACACATTGGCTCTCTTTGTGATGAACGCAGATGCAGCAACCGGGATTGCAAAACTTCACCCTGCTCGCATCTGAGATGTCACAACAGCAAAACAACATCGGAACGCGCGCGCGGCAATGACAGGAATTTCCGAGCGGCAAAAGTTTTCCGGCGAGCTTCAAAGAGTGCGGAAGCGACCTTGTAAATAATTGCACGACCCAGTTGACACAACTTCCTCCTGCAAATGCGAATTTCAGTACATCAGGAATGCAATCAAAAAAAAAAAAAAAAACGCAATCAAAAGAAAGTATATATAGTTTTTTTTTTTATGAGACTACACTTCAAATTAAATAAAATACAAATTTTTTTATTTACGTATATATTATTAAATTGGTTTTTATCATAAAAATGATATAATTTCTATAAAGTTGTATCACCGCGGGCATTCTCGGCCCAAATAATCATCCATTAGTGTGCATAAATTCAATATTTTAAATTTGATTTGTTTCAAGAGAGAATTACACATCAAAAATGCAAAGGTGGAACAAACAAAACAGTCCTCAAGTATGCATGTAAGATAAATATATCAAATAAACATTATTACTTTGCAATCCATAATAATGCTGTTCTGAGTATATTTGTTATCTTTCTTGACAGGAAGCTTAGAGCAAGAAGGTGTGTAGCAGTTTATGTTTATTATTGGTAGAAAAAAAAATTATTTTTTAATTTTTATCATATTACATTATCACGATAATATTGCAATATTGCAGTTTTAAATTAATTTTTTTTTAATTTCATTTTCATTTGTGTAAGAACTTTTACGTTCCTTATTTTTTATAATTTATGATAAATATTGGCATTTTTAAATTTTTTAAAACTTAATAGATCATTTTCTTTTATATTATATTGCACGTTCATTCTGATCTGATATTTACAAAAGACTTAAAAGTAAATGAACTATTGAGGATTTATCTACAATAGTTTTCATATCCTACATGGATTGAGTGGGTCAATCGTTCATAATTTACGATAAACAACGTGTAGGACTCACACAAACCATGAAGGAAAAACGAGCAGTATATTGTTTTTTCCTCAACAATAGATGACTCTCACAACCGATTGAGGAAAAGATGAATTATAATTCAAACCACTATTTACAAAAAAATAGTCATTTTAGCTTCAAAATTAGTTTATATACATATCATGAGGAAATCCCTCTCAATATACACGAATTACATAATTAAAATAAAATGCGATTTTCATGTATGAGAACAATGTATAAAAACACAATATATCCTATTTTCAATAAGATAAATTACACTTTTAATTTCTAAACACATTGTTGCAGTTCAAGTTTAATAGTGATTAACATTGCATTACGCATTATATAAATGCGATGATTTTTTTTTTTTAAATTATAATTGTTGCGGGAGACCCTGTGCTTCATGAAACTTGTGATGGAATCTGTTTTCGCATTCAACTCAGCGTGCGGCTGTAATTGTGTAACGAGGCATCATGAATGCACGTATCAACGTCCAACAGGTGTAAAAACAGCCAGCAACTTTTGCTAGTGCACCATTTGCATATTAATGGAGGGAACACTCTAATGGACACGGTAAAAGGCACTCGCGCGCACACAAAACGGCGGCGGACAGGTGTCATGCCGCATCGAGGGACCGTCGCGTCTCCGTTCGGATGCACTCAACTCACTCGCTGCTCCAGCTGACGTCAGTTCCGCGGCAGATCGATTGCGCCCTCCGCAGAGTCATTGCTGCGGCTGCATAATTTCCAGCCAAGGTGTGAAATTATTATTGCCAAAGCAGTAGAAGCTTTACGTGTTCGGCGCTGTGAAAATTATTGTGCCTCCAGGGACGAAGCCTCCACCCTGTTTCTTGCGGCTTTTCCACTCCCTGCTCCTCCCTCTACCGGTGCGAAATTTACAGCCTGACCCAGTCTCCTATGAATTCTAAACGCGTAATATAATTATTTGATGAATTAGTAAAATGAAAATTTTTCCCGAACACTTGGAAGACTAAACATACTCATGCTAACAAAATTAGTTAAATGAGTCTTGAACGTGAGTGCAAGGCAGCAATGAGTTACTTTTTTTCAAATTTTATATTTAAACTTTTTAAAATTTAATTTAATGCAAGTTTATGCTTTGAGACGTGATTTATAGATTCTTTTTTTATTACTAGTAATAATTCTTTTTATATTATTAAAATATTAAAACATTTAATTTTGTTTATTATTTAATTTTTCTCATTTGAATTTATTTTCATAATTTTATTTTTCAGAATTGGTTTATATTTATATAAAATCATAATAAAAATTTTAAATATAAATATTGGTTGATTCTTGTATTACTTTTAGAATGTTTTGAGATTATACAATTACTAGGCTTCTGTTTTCATTGATCATTCCTTCAAATGAGTAAATTAGCAGACCACTTTTTGATGATGACCATTATATATTCTTTGTATGCTGTTAAAAAAATTGCATAATAAAACAAATAAGATAATTTTCTGTTGCGATGCAAAGAACAAAATTAAATATTAATAAGTTTCATTTTATTAATTACGTCACACTGCAATTTTCATTCAAACTGATGGTGAGTTAGATTCCTTGAAAAATATTTAATATTCATAACAAAGCAATAGACATGTTTAATGATTAATTTATGCATCGTACATTAGAAACAATTTTAATGAATATCTTTTTGAAGTATAACTATTGCTCCTTTGTTCCATATTCATCTCCTTTCTCTTCGGTTTCTTATTTACACTGATATCTTTTATCGTTTAAGAAATAAAAATTTCTTCCAACTCTGGAGTAATTTTCATTAGGGGTGCTGGAAAAGAATAATACATAGAACCTAGCGGAACCTAGAAGTACTTTTTTACCTTTTTTTCCTTCTTTCTGTTCTAATGTCCTTTGACGCACTGCTACGCAATACGCAGTGCACGGCAAATTGGCTCGCTAATTGTTCCGAGAATAGTATATTTATGGGGTCGTTAATACGAACTTCTCCCCAGAGAACAGAGTGTGGCCTTATAACCTTTGGAAAATATCACAAAATTGGCGCAACACAAAAGGGAGAAACTGCTCAGATGAAATTGAAATATGTTAGTGCTTTTTGAAATATAATATTGAAAATATTGATTTTTTTTTTCTTTTGTTACCTGAAACTCGCATATTTTATTGTATCGCTGTGGCCTCTTTTCAACCTCTCGCCTGCACAGGTATCACTTTCGAAAGATCCTCAGCGGAGAGAAAAAGGAAAGAACGGTGGCATTATTGGAAATAAATATGTCGCGGAAAAGTTTTGATAGAAAGTAATCGATGATTGGTTGCTGCTGCCGCCGCCAAGATGAAAAGATATTAAATGAAAGCGATGTAATGAAGGATGGATGCGGGATGCGCGAGTGCAATATCAACGTGGAGGAAATCAATCAGCTTGAAAAACGATCCCTTGCTCTGACGTCATCCGCCGAGCATCTCGGGTAGTTAATTAAATTTGACACTGTTCGCAAAAATATATACTGATAATTTGGGTTACCAGATGGCGAAGCTTTTTATTCCTAGGAAACATTTTGTTCATTTGTAAAATTAGTTTTTAACAACAGTATATTCATTTGTATACATACGAATAATTTATAATATTTTATCTTTTATTTTATTTTTTGCGAGTGAAGAAATTCAAGACTTCAATTATTGCATAGTGCACTGTGGGTAATAAAATAAAATATTTCTTATGACAAAAATATAGACCAGCTCACTGCATATTTGTGTAATAAAAATTACGCAAATATTTTTTCTGCTGTCTTAGGCTTTTAATTTTTTTACAAAGTCATCAATGTCATCAAGTTTTATTTGAAAAGAAAAAATAATAATTTGCAGTGCTGATTGGGAGCTGTCACGCTCCTCCTTGTATATTTTTACTTCATTAAAATAATAAAAAATTCAAACTTTGATGGATTGAATCTAATTTTATAATTATTTTAAAAAGCTGATAATTTATGCTCCAAAAGAAATTTTAAACATTGAGATCGATTGCAAGAAATATTTTATTTTATTAAATCATCAGCACTTGAAAGTATAAAATTATTATAATGTTTTTTTTTTTAATTTTATTAACATGGCGTATAATCATCAAATTGTTTTCTCACACAGCTGGTGTAGGAAACGATGCAGATCAGAATTGTAAGAGTCAATATTATTCCTGCTAAAGACGCTATAACAATCAAGGTGGGCCTGGCGCTGTGCACAAACTTGTCAAAACTTAATCCAGACGGGGATTCTCCCTCAGCAAAAAAATCTTTGGAGTCCAAGATATCCTCAGTCACGTTGTATTTTGAAATGGTTGTCGTCTTTGTTGGTATTTTTGTAGTCTTCGTTGAGTTTGTGATAATAGAAGTCATTTGTGTTGTGACACTTGCAGTTAAAGTTGAGGACAGAGTTTCATTTTTGCAAGGGAGGCCCCCTAAAACGTAGAAAATTAATTTTTATTTATTTTGGTAAATTTCTTAATGCATTTGTTCAATGAACACATACACAAGTTTGTTGTTAAGTTATTAATAATATAAATTGTGATTCTCTGCTTGCAATCAAAAAATAATTTACAATTAAATTTTAACTCAATTTTTCAACATGAAACATTTAAAAATAATTTTATTTGTATAATCAGTTTAAAAAATCGCGTAGTGATATAAATGTGCAGTTTTTAATTTATATAATATGCTTCTGAGCTTACTCTAATTGTTTTTTACTACTACCTCAGCATTTTATTTGTGGTTTTCATTTTATCAATAAAATATAATAAAATATAATATAAGTCAAATAATGTAAATATTCTCTGCGTAATGCATTTTTATTTCCTAAATTCAATTTATTTGTTATTTTTATGACGAAATATTTAATTAAATTGTAATAACGAATTTGCGAACTAAATTTCATGAAGCAAACAGGTAGAGCGTCATTTAATCTAAATTTATTCAAGATATTTTTGTACATACTGGGCAGTTCATGTGTAGTACTGTTGTCATGGTTCTCTGTACAAGGCAGTATGACCTCCTCGTAAGAAGAATCGTAGCACTGCAAAAAGCTACCGAACCGGCATATCACCCGCTCGGCAGGTTGCGACGGGCAGGGTTGAAATTGGCCTTCACATTTGCCTGCGGAGATAACGATCGGGTCGAATGAATGAATTAATGCCCAGCGGCCTGTACGGACGATTTTCCGGTACCTGTGCTTGGGTCGAACCAAAAGGCGGCGGCGGTGGGCAGAACAATCGCTGCCAAAGTCACGAATCTGTTCGGCATTTTGATCGTATCGACGTCTCGTGATTTATGTGCGCGGCCAGACACTTTCTCCGCGACTGGTGATTTTGGAAATAATTTAATCACACGAATGTGCTTTATCTACATAGGGAGGAAATCCTTCCACACGCTCTTCCTGTTTTTGGCTCTGTTGCGGTTGCCGTGCAGCGAGAAATTCTGACATCAATCACCGCATATTTCGTCATAACTCACGTTATCTTTAACACACGCACGATCCGTGAATTTCACCAAGCGCGAAATTTATGGTTTTGGTTTTGCACTTTGTGATTCATGATATTGCCGAGTGCGATGCACCCTCGTCCGATTAATTTTGCAACAGGCACATGAACCAACTATTTCGAAGGTCAAGTCCTGGAACAATTAAAAGTTTTAATTCTTTGATGTTAAAAAACCTTCAAAATTTGGTTTAAAATTCAGTAAAAGGCAATTACGATTTTTTATTTTTACGAAATATTAAGATCAGATCAGATTTTATGAAGTTTTAATTATAAAAATTAGCAATTAATGTTGTTTATTTGTCCAAATTGTTACATCACATTGTTTACATTGCTTATCAAGGTTTTTAATTGTAAAAAGAGACTTAAAACAAATATTTTTAATTCCTCCTTCATTTGTTACATTTCATTTCTTTCCACTTCGATATGGTAAACAAATCTGGGTACAAAAATAATTCAAACTGACGTTTCCTCTTTTTAAACTGTTCGGTCTCACCTCAAATGCCAAAAGTTCACTCTTTCACCTTTTACTGCGTAAAAATTTCATTACACACAGAGGTGCACCTGAAATGTCAAAAGTCAACGTCGCTTTTAGCATTTTCGCAGAAAAAAGCACTTCCTTTTGCAATTGCGTCGGTTCGTGATCAAGAAATCATTTCCTCCGGAGACACTTACTACCCTTCAGAATCCACGCGCTGGATAGCGTGATAGTTCATTTTATTCAGCTTTGTTGATAAACTATATTAATTTCGCATGTGGACAGAAAAAGTGCCGCTTTTCCGCGTAACAAATTCGATAAAATATGAATTTATTTGACAAAGTGAGGCGGCTTAGTTGGCGGAAATAAAACTCATGCAGCAACTCCGTCATTCAGCACAGAGTTGGGCGCGCAATAAACAGGAAGAAAGTTATTTATAAATTGTGTATTTGTCTGCAAAGTTCTATCCATTATAACTTCTTGTAATATGGAGTCAAAAAAGAAATGCTATCATATTCTTCCCACCGCTTCCCACTCTATTTTTGAAAAGGTTATTAAATTATTATTGGCAGGCATTCTAAATTTATTATTATTTCGAAATTTTAGATCAATAAACAAAATTTGCAAACTAAAATTTACAGAAACCCAAGTTAAAGGTACTTTATATAGCTAGAAAAAAAGTATTGTAGTATTTACAGGCAGCGAATTTTTTTATGATATCAAGCTTTTTAATACCAAATTACAGCTAAAAACTAAATTTAGCGGAAAAATTAATAGTTTGAAAATGTTGCAATAGAAAAAGACTTTAAACAACTAAAAATAATTAATCCTTAATTAATTCTTTTAACTGCATAAAAATAATTTTTGCATCTTTAAAGTAATGACTTTTCTTTTAGTTAAAACTAAAAATATAATATATTTATTATATAATTTAATAAATAATCTAGAACTTCAATACTTATATCAATAACGGTTAATAAATATGCATATTTCGTTAATAAAAATTTGTAGTAATTAAGCTTAAATATTGTAATTTGTATCTGTGAAAAAAATCATCAATAACAATTTTTTTTCAAATCAAAGCAGGTATTATGGTTAAAATCCCTTGTCGGTTTATCCGTTCAAAAATTCGAAACCCGCTGAGAGAAAGTTAATCAGTCAAAAGGGTGTGCGCACACCAAGGCACAGTGTGGTCCTAATTTAAAATAAAATCCGCCAGACTGTTAAGCCAACGCCGTCATTCAGTCTCTTCTTCTCATTCGCGGCGTGAAATAGATGATGGCGGATGATTAATGACGACACTCTGTCACTCCACCGAGCAAACAGACAGAACTTTTACGCACTGTACACACTTAACTCATGCATAATAAATATTTCGCGCTGGAAATTAATGTTGCGAGTTGAGCAGCGAAAGTAGCGAGTTGACATGGAGCGCATATTGACCGGAAAACTTCATCTCAAGGACGGCAGCAAAAAAGCTTATAACAAATACATCCACTCTCAGCTTGTGGTCAACTTTTCTCAGGCTGGCTTTCAGTCAAGTGTGCTTTGAAAATTAAATTTACTTGGGACAGTTGGGACAAGTTTAATTTTAAATTAAAGTTTGGAGCACTTCCTTAAATTTTGAAAAAGAAATACCTCGTTTTTGCCACACCTGATATAAAGATAAGATTTAATTTTTATTCTTATAAATATATTTATGGTTCAATGATATTACTCTGTATTAATCAGCCAAGATTTCTATGAGAATAATTTTAAGAATTAAAACTCAAGAATATCAGAGAATATTTAAAAAATCAATTTAAAAAACCCAATTAATATTAATGCTGAATTCAAGTAGTATGTTTTATATTAATGCATTCTTAATAAAGTTTAACGGATCCAATGAGATGAAAATAATTTGGTACTATAATTTAGGCAGTTGAAATTTATCATGATAAATAATAATTAAATATCTACCTTCAGCAAATTAAACCCTTTGAGAACTACTTAAAGGAGACTGAAAAAATTTGGCATAATTCAAAAATATATCTTAATAATATTTCATCCGTGTGTTAAACAAACCTATTTCAGATTTCAGATAAATTCTTCATGCACCTATACTAGTGCATGAGAAGCAACACTTGCAACATGATCACGGCGAATCCAATATGTCATAGTTGGCATGCGTATCGGGTTCCATCTGCACGCTGAAATTCCTTGTTCAGAAAACTAATTTTGCTGCTGCGGGTGTGTGTTTTGCATGAAAACGAGAACATGAGCAATAATCTTATGAGACATTTATTAAACACGACAGCTCTCATTTCCGCCTCCATCTTCATTTATAATGCTTTGCGACACGTTTCAACATTGATATATAATTTAATAGTTTAGTTTTCATTGGCCTGCAATTTGGAATTTTAAAATACACATTTTATTCAATCATTTGTGATCAACACCTGAGATAAATTTTGCTTTATATTTGCTATTTTTAATATTATAGAATTATGTACATTACACGGTATGTATGCGTTTTTTTTTTTGGCATTCAGGCTCAGTTCAACATTGAATTAGATGCATTTATTTATTATACGTACAACACGCAACAGTCAGGGTTTTATGTATGTATATTTTTCCCTAAAATCTAGTTTGGTTTTCCACAGGGAAGTCCATTCTCACTAATATCACCAGATCTCCAGCTGATAAAAATATAACACACTGGTTTCTCTTTTTCTCGCCTTCTTCATTATTAATTAATACCGGTGATTAATTTTTTGCCCGTATCTGCACTGCCTTGGGGCTCAAAACAAAGCGTTGCAGATCGGCCAAAAACTCTTTCTCAAAAGTCGCCGTAATTGCATATTCGTGTGCGGGGGTGGAAAACAGAGTGCCAGGCGTAACGACGTCGTTATTCTCAGGTCGGTGCTGAGTTGATACTTTTTTTTATAAAAATATAATATACTCTAGTATATAAAAATGCAAGGGAAATTAATGATACATGGTGAAGAGCAGCCCTGCGCGTGGCGTGAGAGAAGGGCTGAGTGTTCCTCTGCGATAGACGACATTGATGAGTTTACAATGGGCTGCAGAGAGGGCTGCAGAGAGTGCTGGAGAAGTTCTTGATTTACATAACTACACACATTTTCTCGAAGCGAGAGAGTCGCAAAAAGCCCTGGGGAAGCCGCGAGGGCGCTTAACTGCCTTTTGTTCTTGAAAGCGGATCAAGTTTTCGCATTTGGAATGCTTCATGTCCTCATCGATTTGCATAAACTGGACCTAATTATATAGAGAGAGGTAACGATTTATATGAAATTTTGTTAATTAAATATTCATTTTTTTAAATATTATGAAAGAATGGTTATATAGAAAATAACTGAACAATAACTGAATTTTTATTTAAACTTTTGATTAAATTGACAAAAACTTTCCACGTAAAAGTAAATTTTACTAATAATTGAATGTCAAATTTAAAAATTTATTTAATATTAATAATATTATATAGTTTATTTGTAATTTTAATACATTATCAAAGAAAATTAGATTGTTTTATTTAAATGTAAATATTTAAAAATCTTATTTGTTGATAAATGTTCACTTGCAGAGCACTCTTAAATCATTTGATTGTCAAATTGTTGCAATAAATGATTATTGAGAGTGATTTGAGTTTCAATTTGATTTATATCAGGAAATCAGAGTATGTTGCAACCAAAAAAAATTAATTAAAAAAAAATATAAACATATAAATTTTTGAAACATTTAGCAATTTTACCTGACCAATTTTACGCATTGATATTTTATTAAGGGGAAATGGAATCTATTTTTATCCAGACAAGATTTGATTTTGAAATTTTCAATTTTTATAAAAATAATTTAATAATTTGAAGTCCAGTTGCTGCTTGTAGACATGAGCCTATAGTAAAAACGTTTAAAAATGGTTGACCCTCTTTCGCAAGACGGCTTTCCTTTCTCATTCCACTCTTTCCACAACACTACTTATCAAGTTTACAGTTGACACAACAAACGTGCATTGTTAGAAAACTGCTAAAATTCAGTTTCGGCGGCGGGTCGGCTGCCAGCAGCACTTTCACCGCCCATCTGCTCACGCTATCATTGCATGTATCTGACGTGGTGGCGGCTGCGGTGATAACGTTTGCCGCACAGCAGTCTTTTGAACGCCTGACGGAACTCGGGGCTGAAAATGGTGTAGATGATGGGGTTGAGGGTGGAGTTGAAGTAGCCGAGCCACAGGAAGAAGGACACCATGTACTTGTTGAACTCGCAGTACTCGGGCGGACACAGCGGCATCAGCAGCGCCATGATGAAGAAGGGCAGCCAGCAGACCACGAAGGCCCCGGTGATGATGGCCAGCGTCTTGGCCGCCTTTCGCTCCCGCTTCGAGTCGGCCGCGGCCGCCTTGGCCTTGCGTTTCGCGTTGTTGTGGTGCGGCTGCGGCGAAACGCCGCTCAGCCCGTCCATGGTGGGTGGGTCCGGCGCCAAACCGTTGGTTGCCGACGTCTTTTCGGGACTGGTGTTGGTCGACGACACCGTCGTGAAGGCCGTCGTCTCCGACACGGTCGGCGGCGGCCGACACATGACGCCGGCGCCCATGCCGGCGCTCATGGCGGCCGCGGCCGCCGCCGTTTTCATGCCCACGTTTCGGCGCCGGATTCGCTTTCGGGCCGTCTGGAAGATGCGCCAGTAGAGGATGAGGATGACCAGCAGCGGCACGTAGAACGACGACATGGTCGCGAAGATCTGGTAACTCACGTCCTGCGACACCATGCACATGCTGTCGTGCGTCACCCGGTCATGCCAGCCGGGGTCCTTCCAGCCCAGCAGCGGCGCCACCGACACCAGGCACGCCATCGTCCACACAATCAGGATCATGCAGCCGATGCGGCTAGGGTTGCGGTGATGGATGTAGTCGATGTCCGTCACAGCCCAATACCTGGAATCACAACCGGCAAATTGCGTTAGCCTCTTGGTTAATAGCTTTGAGGTGGGGTCTGGTCCTCCAGTCAGGGGTAATTTGCACGCGGGAGATGGATGACGAGTCCCAAATTAGTTTATATACCTCTTTTATGAATTAGATTATGAGTTATGGAGGGAGATGTATAATATAATTTACAAAGTGATTAATCACCAACGCTAATGCATATTTAGGGTTCCAGCACAAAACTTTTGAGCATCAGATTAAAATATTCCCAAAATAAAAAATATTTAATTTTATAACGAGTGGTTTTCCATCCATGTAAATAAATATGAAATATTAAAAATGTTTTGTACTCAATACAAAAGGAATGAATTGTTACGTTTGAACAATACCGGAACATACATTTTATTTAACTGAGGCTTAAACATTATTTAAAAATAAACCTATTTTAATAATTTTGTATAAAATTTAAATATTATTTGTTATAAATCTTTTTATTTATTTTATTATTTTATTTTATTGTGAATTTTTTTTATATAATTAAAGAATAATTCTTTTTATTACAAATAAAAGTTACTTTAATAAAATTAAATATTTTACAAAAATATAATATTTTTAAAATATTTATATGTTATACATTTTTGTATACTAAGGCAATATTTGTTAAGTTGGAAAACTATTGAAGATGGATTGGTGATGGATGGTTTATATTTTAAATATAAGTTATAATGCAATTGCAGTTCATTTAATGTAGAACAGGCATAATTATTTAAAATGCTAAATTATCAAAGCATTAATATTTAAATCATAATATATATTAATGATCAACTTCATGATTAATGAATAATGAATCTTTTAATTTATTAAAAACTGCGCCATAGGAATCTTTTCTCATTAAAATGGAACAGGTCAGATGATGGAAGTCTCACAGTAGAATTTGTTGAACGTGCTTCTAAAATTTTCCATTACAATTATCTCCAAGTTTTCTGCAGTTCTCGTCATTAAAATTCTTATTTCATCCAAACGCGGTGCCAATTAGAGGGAATATGCATTAACACTCCAATCTTTCCCACATCATAAAGCTATAGCCGTGTACGCACACCACATTTTATCATCTTTCCTTCGTATCTGATCGCATCACCAAACGCCCCAATCTGGCCCCAATGCAACTAAATATTTTCCGGTTTGGCTCTTGAATACAAGGCAATTTTTAAAACGATCAAGACGCGCTTGTTCTACTGTAAAATATAAAATGGTTCCTAAATTCGCGAGCAATTTTCTGAAAGTAACAAGATCACTTCTAGCTATATTTTTTTTTCCAAAGGCAGAGCACGTATGTATGCTTACTTTTAGCAGGAAAAAAGTAAGTGACTATAAAAAATTCATCTCTTATCAAAAATGCAATTTCGAACCATTGTGTAAACATCTCTTGTACTAATATTAACATTGTGAGATGACGGAAATAGTAACTTCCTTACGAATGTGATCTGCGTCACGAAAAAAAAATCATATTTAGATTTATGTGAAAACAAAAGGATTGTTTATCATTCATAATTTCTTTTAAATATTTTTAATTAAGGATTTAAAAAAGCAGCTATTTATATTTAGAGTACAAATAATGATCAATAGCTTTTTCTTCTTCTTTTGTTATTTTTAACTCCTAAATGTTACCTTTAGTGATTTGTTCAACCTCAAAAAGCCTTTGAACAAATCACCGCAAGCAACAGCACCACTCCGAGTGAACAAGCAAAATTATTATCGACCATTCTCCGCTCGAGTTGGCTGATTTGCAGACCCATTTCTTTTTTGCGAACGAGATGCTGTCTCTAATGAGCGGGTCGTTTCTGATTTTTATACTGATATGAAATCGTTCCATTCCTCTTTGGCCAAGTTTTTGGACGCCGTCCAAACATCTGGCCGGCGCTTCGTTCCCAGTCAATGGAGCCAAATTTTGGTCGGATTGGCAGACGTGCGGAAAGAGCAGCCCCGAGTCGCAGGCAGTCAGCCGAAAAATTCGATTTCCCCTTTATTGGCGCAGCGAATTTTCCAGTCCAGAATTTGGCACTAATTTAAATAGCGATGCTCAGCACGCGCTGCCGGCAATCGGATTAAACCCTCGCGGAACAGTGTGTTTGTGTCATTTAGTCTAATCGCTTGGTTGCTTGCGAGGCAATTTTTTGCCAAAATAATCTCGTTTGCTGGGTTTTCTGAAATGAGCCCCTCCGGGAATGGGAAGACGAAGGAAACGGTGCATGAATTATTGGTGGAATAAAATGTTGAATTTGATTGCAGATGATAATAAATATGGATTCATGATGAACAGAAAATAAGCCTGGAAATTTTTTAGAAAAGTATTATTCTGGGTGCTCTTTTTGTAAATCAACTTTCCACTCACTTCCATTGATTTAAAAAAACCTATAAAATTTTGAAACCAAAGTTAAACTTATTAGTCCATTTCGATAAACAAAAATACAATTGAAATATTTAAAAAAAATTACAGAATCTATATAAAAAATAAATAATTGTTAAATTCTCACACTTTGAAAAGAATAGAATCAATTAAATTTTAAAGCAAGGCACAATTTAAAATAGAAAATATCAGTCTTAAATTTTAAAACGAAGTCTCTAGAGATTTGTATGACTTTACAAACCCTTTAATTTATTAACTTGATTAATTAAGCCACAGCAAAGTTCGTAAAAAAAGAAAAAAATAAACCACCCGCGTGACGAGCCTCAAACTTTTCCATCCATCGATGTCTAAGTATATTTAAAGCCCCCAACGTCTGCTGCTGATCGTCTCTTGGTGAAACGTGTATCGCCAAGTGGAAAGTTGGCGAATTGAGTAGATGAGACTGATCAAAGGGAAATAATACAAAATTGAATTATAAACCAGCAGCGCACCAACGGCAACCGTCTGAGCAAGCGACGACGAGATCAATTTACACTGTTAATGGACAAGTTATGTCCGCTCTGTTGAGTCGAACAATCCCGAGTTTGCCAACACACTGCAGAACGTTTGTATAATTTTTGCACTAGAAAAGCTCAAAATTTGCGAGGTTGGATTGCTTTGGGCATTTTTCCCTTTGATTATCAATCATGTGTAAAAAAGGGGTGCGTCACCTGTCAACCGCAATTGCGACCAAATGGAGGATGGACGCGGTGCAGCAAAGCACGTCGCTCGAGGTCCACATGTCGCAGAGCTCAGGGCCGAGCGTCCACTGCTGCGAGACCTCGTATACGGCACCCAAGGGCATGACCAGGCAAGCGACCAGCAGGTCGGCCACCGCCAATGACAAAATCAAGTAGTTGGCCACGTTCTGAAGGTGTCGCTCCAGCAGGATGGCCGCTATCACGAAAACGTTGCCTGTGAACAAAAAGTGAATATTTCTTATCAGTTATGAAACCTTTTTAAGTTTATTATTTTCATATTCTCTAATCGAGTAAAAAAAAACTTATAGTAATTTCTATGTTTGAAGATACGGCTTGGGAAATTTAGAAAAAGAATGTTTACAAATGCAAACTCACAACGGGGGCAGAAATTAGGTAAAAAGTGTAGTATAAATCAGTATATCTATAATTTTAATATGAAATCATCAAATATTTTTCACCACAATTTTAATAATGGTATGTAATGTAAGATTTAAGCGCCGTAGGTAAAACATTCAATTATTGTATAGAACTGGACTGCCTGGCTTTTAAGTCTTGCTCTCCAGTCACAAAAGCCCCGATCGATAGATAACTCCGCTCGAAGTTGGGTGGACTTGTAATTTATGTATAACAAAAATACTTTATTTAAAAAAAAGTGAAATATATAATATAATTAGATAAGAGATTATTTTTATTTTTATTTTTTATTTTTGACAATATTTTTATATTTAATATTTTATTTTAAATTTGAATTATATAAAAATTAGCTTAATTTTTATTAAAATATGTCAACATTACATAAATATAATGAAAATCATTATAACAAAGTTTACCTAATAATTTATATTTAAAAGCAATAGTCACAATGCTAACAATGTTTGACTAACAATGTAAAATTATTCCTTCTCTCTCTCGCTTTGTAGGTGCAGTTGTATATTTAATAATTATTCTATATTATTTAAATTACTCCAGTGCAATTCAAATTCATTAATCCGATCATCCATGACTCTTATGTATAACTAAAAAATGTAACTTTTTTAAGGCTCGAATTTGTAAACTTGAATTATAAATCCTGAAACTGTCTGAATTCATAAATTTAAAAACAATATAAAATGGGAATTCCTCTTTGCAGTTTTATACACCTATAATATTTTCCAATAAAGATGCAACTCTCAGCATTCACTGAAATCAGTTTTTATTCTATTTAGGTGCAAATTGTGTTTATTGATCTATCACAAAGGCAATTGCTGCCCATAATGGGATACATCTTTATTCGATTAAATTTATACATTCAAAATTATACGCGCATAATTTTGAATGTATGAATTTGTAAATTCAATACAATTGAGAGAAAAGATGAGAATTTTGCAAACAAAATTTTGCAAATAAATTTTCAAATTATGAAACATCTAGAAAGTTTTGTTGTAGCATTTCACGGTAGAGGATTTATTAAATAAATTACTCGGAAATCCCATCAAGGAGATGCCGACTTCAAATTCAACTCACGATAATCACCATCCACAAAGTTATTGCTTTAGGAGTAGTTTTGTTCAATAAATTCACCTGCTAATTACTTCATTTTTATTTTATCATTTTCAATCTTTAAATACTAATAAAAAAATTCTCCTTTAAGGAGCAATGTAATATCATCTCATCGAGTCAAAGCGAGGGTTCTCTATGAAAATAAAATAATACGATCTAATTTAAAAAAACTTTATCTCCTACTATAGCGAGTGCCTTTCTTTCAATCACTAATTCCCCTTTTCTTGTTTTCCCCCCAGAGAAATAAAGTGGATGTCTTTTCACCCGCAGGAAAAAAGATGCATGCAATTTCTTTGAAAGCCTCTAGATCTTTCCATCAATTTTCGCCAACTGTCACATTGTTTCAAAAATATTCACATTTTTTCCACGTATGGCCATCGTTGGAATTTATATACATCCCAACCACAAACAAAATTCAAATTCGAGTGTATAATCAGGTTTTTCATCCTCTCTGTATATTGTAGTGAATAAATCCACAAACAGCGGTCCCGCGGGTACGACTGCACTCTCCGAGCTGGAATGGAAATTATTTATGGTAATCTATTTCCAACAGCTCTGGGCTCCATAATTTTCGCATATCGACTGGGACACACGCGCGAACTAAACAACACCGAAACAAGGACGGACAGTTAATTAAGGCGCATTTATGCTCACGAGTGAACGAACGGCTCTGATTGATAGATGACGCAATAGGTTGTGTCTCTAGGTTTTGTCAGGTGATAAGCGCTAATCCCGGTCATTTAATAATGAACACATTTCCATGCGACGCGGGCCGAGTTTAATGAAGCCCGCGGGGAGTGTCCCGAGTATCGCAAACACAACTAGCTCGGCTAACTCTGTGCAGCGAGGGAGTTTTCAGTCGCAATAAAATGTTTTAAATGGTACGCAAAGATTACGCTGTGCGAGGCAACCAGATTTAGAATGCAATTTTACGGCCCGAAAGCCAATTTTCATTTGCATAAATCAGAACTAATGATCAAACATTTGAGACCAACAAGAGCGAAATTAAGATTTTATTCGACCCGAGGGTTTTTCCCAGTTTCAAGTTCAATCCCACATTCAGCCAGTTTTATGAGGGGCTTCACGGTGGTTGTGTGTATTGAAAATTGACATTTGCAAAGTGTTTTTTTTTTTTTTATTGTGAGATTTTATTCTATGCCAATTATTTATATTATAAAGAGGATCAAAAAATGAGATATTTTCCCAAACAAACATATTATCTGTCTCATGCAGCAGGGAAAGTTCAAATTGGAAGCTTTTTCTTCAGGCATTAAATGATAAACATATTTCCGAAATTCCAAGTAATTGCCCCTTGAAACAACTTTTTTTTTAGTACTTTGAATTCAAATTAAATGGGAATAATTCCCAAATGAGAAGCATAAAATAATTTAAAATTTTATTACTAAATCAAGTTCCTTCGTTCCCACAACTCCCTAAACAATGGCCCACTGTTGAAATGAGGCGCAGGTTATTATCAAATTTCGAACGTATTTCCAAGTGAGTCAATAGCGAGCGTCAATGCTTGCAGTAATCAACGCGTCGAAACAATCGGGCGCCTAACTAGGCAAGGCTTAATTAGTGCAGCAGATGCGGTATGTGTGTATGTAATTTATGCGAGTGACAGCTGCTTCTTGTTTATCTGGTCCATGAATGGGCGACGATACAAATTGCTGCCGCTAGTAAATTGCAGAAGCGTCCTTTCGAAGTGAAATTTAGTTATAGACCACAAAAGTAAGTGCAATGGATTCAATCTTGAATGTTTTGTCGAGAAAACTGTGCGTGGCACATGTTAAAAATTTAAAAAGGAAAAATTTCATTTTAATGAAATTAAAACTCAAAATAAACCATGATGCGAACGATGAAAATTACATTACATTTAATTGAAGAGAAGAGAAAGGAAAAAATGTAAACAACTTCTATTGCGATTAAAAATTGTTTTATTAATATTCTACATAACCAACTTTTCAAATCTAAACAACGTTATTTTTTGTTATACGAGTTGCTGGAATTCGCATTTTTTCACCTACCGCAGTGAATACTTTATTACTGCAAAATCTCATTAATGAAACTCGCGTTGAGTTTCATCGCCGTAAAAGTACATGATGTATATTTCCGTTGGCATCATTACAAGAATGCAACTCTGGAGTGCATAATTATCTCGCGAGCGGTTGGTGCAAGCGTGATTAAAATTGCATCCTGCGCCAGTGGGAAAGAAAGCAGTTTTACCGCTCACCTCAAACCTCGCGCCAGATCGTGCCCACAATGCAAATTTCCATGCAGAGACGTGTGTCAACGCGAAAGCACTTAGGATGATTATTTAGTCTGCTCGCGCGACAAACAAGGGGTTGGAGGGCGAAGAGGGATGCTTCTTAAGGAGCAAATCTGTCGTTGGTGCAGCCCCGAGTGTTACGGGGCGGACTGGTTAATTTAATTCGGGGCCGATCCACCTTGTCTGAGCTTATTCCCTGCGGTGCGGGCACAATAAGATGATTAAAGGCCGCCGCCGGGCGTTGCAAATTAAAAAGATCCGAGACTAATCTGGCGCGGGCTCCGCTCCAGCCAGGGCAGTGAAATGACACAAAGGTGTGCTCGCTAAACTCGCAGGCTTAATGAAAGATGTTTGGCATTTTTTCGCGTTGGAAAATTATTCCTCGCCGCCGGGCAACAATTTTCTCTCTCCGGGGAAATTAAAAAACAGCAACTCTCTAATCTCTGGATTTGGTAAAGCCGCCGCCGCTTGAAATTACGCCAGCCCGTCGCTGATGTTTCGAGAGCTTTTTAATGAAGGCAGGATGGTAAAAAAGTTATTTTAAAATGCCCTGCCATTTGGACGAAAGTTTTTGTCAGCGAGGGATTTGGAAATTTTTTAATATAGAAAGCTGATGTTTGATAAAAAAAAAAGATATAGAACACTCTAATGACTGGATATTTAAAATGATCTAGATTAATGAAATGACATCTAACAATCAATTCAATTAGCATGCAAGTTAAATATCAATTCAGGCTATATTTTATTACAAATGAATCAAATGATCATGATTACAACTGTGGAAAACCGCTTAAAAATGGTTTATGAACAATTTAATACTAAAAATTTTTCTTTTGGTAAAATTATATAAATTATTTTAAATTTATTTCATTTCTATTTTATTAAAAACAGAAAACATTTAAATAAAAAATCTTAAAATCATATCAAATTATCAAAAAGTTAAATAAAATAAAATAAATAAATATTTTGCATGCAAGAGATAAAAGACAAACGAAATAAAATTACATAAATTTATTTTTTAATTTATTGCACAATTTGCTTTTAAAGCTGCACCCTTAAATTGTCAAGCATATAAAGCTCTGCGATGACTGTGGCAGTGGCCGCGCGCGACTCGGAGAGTCATAATAGTCCCAAGGTCTCCGAAGGGTTGCGAGAGAGCAGCGCAAACCGTCACTCATTTTGCACACTCACTAATTTAATTAGCTGGAAATGATCCGGCACATTTTACGCCCGCACTCTGCGCGCCCCCGAGATTTCTCCCCTGGAGTGGCGCAGCTGGAATTACCAGCACAGGTGTAAAAGCCAGGGCGCGGCGACCGAACATAATTTGCATTTTATTTCACGCAGCTTTTAATAGCACTTTCAAAAGGGGTAGTCGTGAGTAATGCGTATAGTTCATACAGAGC